CCTTGCTTTCCCAGGGCACACCGGAGTAGCCGCAGTGTGGGTTCAGCCGCAAGGTGGTGGATGCACTCACGTCAGAAGGTATTTCCTTTGGCAGTTTTGACATTCTCACGGACGAGGCAGTGCGGCAGGGGCTGAACACATGCCTTTACACCCCCCCAACCCCCCTTCCCCTGCCTTCCTGTGCTATGTACCCATGACCATCCCCATCCCGAGAGAAGAAGGAACGCATGTGCAGGATGAACGGCTTGATGACCTTGACCGTCACGATGCGCTGCTCTTGAGTCGAGATAGGCCGAGGGTTCATCGATCAGATAGATGTCGGCAGGCTGGAGAAAGGAGAAAGTGGAAGAGGGGGAGAAAGGGAAAAAAGGGAAGGATGAACCGCTTGATGACCGTGGCTGCCACAATGCACTGCTCTTGAGTCGAGATAGGCCGATGGATCGTAAATGAGGTAGATGCCACCAAGGCAGAGGGAAATAGCGACGCACCTTCCCAAAGCAGAGGGAAATAGCCACGCACCTTCCCAAGGCAGAGGGAAATAGACACGCACCTTCCAAAGGCAGAGGGAAATAGCAACGCACCTTCCCAAGGCAGAGGGAAATAGCCACGCACCTTCCCAAGGCAGAGGGAAATAGCCACGCACCTTTCCAAGGCAGAGGGAAATAGCCACGCACCTTCCCAAGGCAGAGGGAAATAGCCATGCACCTTCCCAAGGCAGAGGGAAATAGCGACGCACCTTCCCAAGGCAGAGGGAAATAGCCATGCACCTTCCCAAGGCAGAGGGAAATAGCCACTCACCTTCCAAGGCAGAGGGAAATAGCCACGCACCTTCCCAAGGCAGAGGGAAATAGCCACGCACCTTCCCAAGGCAGAGGGAAATAGCCACGCACCTTCCCAAGGCAGAGGGAAATAGCCACGCACTTTCCCAAAACAGAGTAATATAGCCACGCACCTTCCCAAGGCAGAGGGAAATAGCCACGCACCTTCCCAAGGCAGAGGGAAATAGCCACGCACCTTCCAAGGCAGAGGGAGATAGCCACGCACCTTCCCAAAGCGGAGGGAAATAGCCACGCACCTTCCCAAGGCAGAGGGAAATAGCCACGCACCTTCCCAAGGCAGAGGGAAATAGCCACGCACCTTCCCAAGGCAGAGCGAAATAGCCACGCACCTTCCCAAAACAGAGGGAAATAGCGACGCACCTTCCCAAGGCAGAGGGAAATAGCCACGCGCTGCAGCTCTCCTCCTGACAAATTCACCACCTCCTGGTCGAGCAGGGGGTCGATCTGCATGAGACAACTTCTGAGCCGCCCCAAAACCATCCCAAAACCGCCCCAAAACCACCCCAAAACCGCCTCAGACCACCTTAAAATCCCAAGAGGGACTTGATGCACCCCTTCCTTACCTTGCCAAGGCACAGCGTGATGGCCACGCGCTGCAGCTCCCCTCCTGAGATTTTCACCACCTCCTGGTCGAGCAGGGGGTCGATCTGCATGGGGCAACTTCTGAGCCGCCCCAGAACCGCCCAAAACCACCTTGAACCGCCGCAGTCTCCAAGAGAGAGTTGACCAACCCACCCACTCCTTCCTTACCTTTCCCAGACAAAGGGTAATAGCCACGCGCTGCAGCTCCCCACCCGACAAATTCACCACCTCCTGGTCCAGGAGCGGGTCGATCTGCATGGGGCGCAGCACGTCGGTGTTGAACTGCGGGTGGTGGAACGAGTCTCGGATCTTGGAGTGCAGCAGCGCGCGCACGCTGTGGGGGAACTTGGGGGAGATCTTCTGCGGCTTGTACGACACGTTGAACTCCGGGAGGTCCTCGGCCTCCTTGCCGGTCTCCTCGTCCGGGTCAGCCTTTAAGAGACCAGCCTGTAAGGGGTTGAGAAGGACACAGGAGAGCGGAAAGGAGAGGAACGAGAGGGTATGAGAGGGGGAACTTGCGGCTGATCTTCTGCGGCTTGAACGACACGTTGAACTCCGGGAGGTCCTCAGCTTCTTTCCCGGTCTCCTCGTCTGGATCTGCCTTCAAGAGGCCGGCCTGGAGGGGTTCAGAACGAGACAGGAGAGGAGAGGGGAGGAGGGAGGAGAGTAACGCAGAAAACTTGGGGCTGGGCTGGTCTTCTGCGGCCTGTACAACACACTGAAATCCGGGAGATCTTCGGCTTCCTTGCCAGTTGATTCGTCCGGGTCGGCCTTTAACAGACCAGCCTGCGTGATACAAGGGAGAAGGGAGACAAGGCACGGGGGATCGAAGTGGAAAGGGAAGAAAAAGGGACGGAGAATGAGAATGGGAAGGGAAACTTGGGGCTGGGCTGGTCTTCTGCGGCCTGTACGACGCGTTGAACTCGGGAAAACCTTGGGCCTCCTTGCCGGTTTCCTCATCTGGGTCCGGCCTTGAGAGAGCCGCCTGGAAGGGAGAGAGGAGGGATGGAAGATGGATCATGGAAGGGACAGGGAGAAGAGAGAGCCAAAGAGACGTGCAAGCTGGCGATATTGGGAGACGCGGAAACGGGAAGGAAACGGGAATTTAGGAGCCAACGACTAGCCCAACCGGTATGCATATGACACAAGAGTCGGCCTATTAGCTCTTCGGAAGCATGTGGCATGGTGCGGGCACATGCAAGTTGGGCTACCGGCCTACCACCAGCCATGCACAGGTGAGAGAGTTGGCCTACCAGCATGCGGATAAAGGTGGTTTCGCCGGTGCCATTCTCCCCCAGCATCACCACGATCTGCGAGTCTGTGCCTTGCGTCCACTGCCATCCCTACCTATGGTGCACACATGTGCCTACCAGCATGCGCACCCATGAGAGACAGCTTCCCTACCAGCATGCGGATAAAGGTGGTCTTGCCGGTGCCGTTCTCCCCCAGCATCACCACGATCTGTGAGTCCGTGAAGTCACCAGGTTCCACCGTCAGCTTGAATCCGCCCTGCTTCTTGACCATGCGCGGGTACTTGTAGCGCGTGTACGTCTTGGCCTCTTCAGGGTTATCGACTGGGGTTTCAGCAACCTGAGATGGAATGGAGAGGGGGGGAGGGGAAGGAGGGGCTTGAACCCGCCCTGCTTCTTGACCATGCGCGGGTACTTGTAGCGCGTGTACGTCTTGGCTTCTTCAGGATTATCCACCGGGGTTTCAGCCACCTGATGGGAGCAATGATGGGTTGAGATGGGTCAGAAATAAGGGTAATTTAGCTGCAAAGCTTGAACCCGCCCTGCTTCTTGATCATGCGCGGGTACTTGTACCGCGTGTACGTCTTGGCCTCTTCAGGATTATCCACCGGGGTTTCAGCCACCTGAGATGGAATGAAGGGGGGTGAAAGAATGGAGTGAGGGAGGGGAAGGAGGAGGTTGAACCCGCCGTGCTTCTTGATCATGCCCAAATACCTGTACCGAACCGACTGTACGTCTTGGCCTCCCTCCTCAGGATTATCCACCAGGGTTTTCGTCCCCTGATGGGAGGGGGAAAGGAGAAGAGGCACGGGCGGAGGAGAGGGAGTGGAGGGGAGGAAAGGAGTGCTTTGAGGAACCTGAGACAGCACACAGAGAGCTTCAACACGCCCTGCTTCTTGATCATGCGTGGGTACTTGTACCAAGTATATGTCTTGGCCTCGTCCGTTTCTTCCAACTTTGAAAATGAATGAGCTTTTCGTCTCAAAAATGTGGGTCTGACTTCTGAGTCGACTTTTGTGTCTTAAGTCGGCTCAAAAGATGAAAAAAAAATATGCTCATGCCCTATCTAACGAAGTTGGAAACTGAGGCAAGGAAGAAACATCCATTCACAAAGAGGAGCGACAGACAAGCAGACCCACACGGAAGGTGAGCGACTCGTCTTGAAAACGCAGGTTTCCAGCTGGTATGAAGCCGGCAAGAAAGATGTTCATTCCCTCGAGCACAGAGAAACACAAAATTCCCCTCTTTCAAGTCAACACCTAAAGCAGACTCACCCTGAAGGTGAGCGGCTCGTCTCGGAAGCGCAGGTTCTCGGTCAGAACAAAGCCGGCAAGGAAGATGTTGATGCCCCCTCGCACTGCTGATTGAATTCTAAAGGTGTGCCTGCAATATGAAAATTTTGATGTCCCGACGGACACGGTGACACCCTCACGGCAGACTCACCCTGAATGTGAGCGACTCGTCTCGGAAGCGCAGGTTCTCGGTTGGCACGAAGCCAGCCAGGAAGATGTTGATGCCCTCTCGCACGGAGAAGGGCAGCGTGACCACCCCGTAGGCACCGGGCTTGCCGTAGAGGCAGCAGATGAAGTCCGAGAGATAGTCGAGCACACTGAGATCGTGCTCCACCACAATGACGTATCTGGGGGGGGATGGGGATGATGGAATGGGGAGTGAGTGGGCAGGGCAGTGGGTGCATGGGGTGATAGCGCAGAAAAACCGCCCTGTATGCCCCTGGCTTGCCGTAGAGGCAGCACATGAAGTGGGAGAGATAGTCGAGCACACTCAGGTCACGCTCCACCACAATCACGTATCTGGAACGGTGGGGGATGCATGGAGGAATGGGGGAATGAAAGGGAGCAAGGGAAAGGGCAGTGGTGTAACAATATCGTACCACTGGTTTCATATTCCTATTCGATGTTCAAGTATTTTAGCACTAATGGATTTGGTTCAACTAGCTTGTTATTCGGTTACATATTGACTCCCTTCGAGGGGTTCAAGAACTTACTAAGGGAGTCAATATGTAACCGAATGACCAGCTATTTGAATCAAATCCAACAGTGTTTAAATACTTGAACATTGAATAGGAATATGAAACAAATGACCAGCTATGACCAGCTATTTGAATCCCTCTTTCCCTTGCTCTATCCACCAACCATTGATCGCACCTGTTCGGACCACTGACCATACCTGTCGGGGCGCAGCAGCGAGCGGATGACCTGCGCTGCCTTCAATCGCTGCCGCACGTCCAGGTAGCTGGAAGGCTCATCAAACATGTAGATGTCTCCCAGCTGCCCCGCCACCACTCCAATGGCAAACCGCTGCAGCTCGCCTCCTGACAGATGCTCCACCTCACGCTCCCACACCTGAAAGGAGTGGTGAATCGGGATGAGGATAGGTGATTAGGTGGGGAAGAGGAGAGGGCTCATCGAACATGTAGATGTCTGTCTCCCAGCTGCACCCCCACCACTCCAATGGCAAAGCGCTGCAGCTCTCCTCCGGACACGTGCTCCACCTCACGCTCCCACACCTGGACGAGGGAAGGGGAAAAAGGAGGAAGGCGAAGAGGAAGGAATTAGACGGGGGAAGTGCAACCAGATGGGGGTGTGCAAGACTAGCTCGTTGGCCCTCATGGCAAACCGATCAATGTTTTTCCCCCTACCGCCTCTTTCTGCACCCTTCTCTGTGAGCACCACACCCACCACCCCCTTCACCGAAGAGCAAACAAGGGGTACTATAACGCAGAGCGTGGACAATAAAGAGAGTGACAATAGCGAGAGGGGAGATGAAACCCCCCCATGACCCCCCCCCCCCAAGGCCCCCCCAAGGCCCCCCCAAGGCCCCCCCAAGGCCCCCCCAAGGCCCCCCCAAGGCCCCCCTAAGGCCCCCCTACCCCCCAATCCTCCTCACAGCCCCCCACCCCGCCCCCCAAAATCCCTGGCATGGGCATGGTCCCCCCCATCCTTGGCATGGGCATGGTCCCCCCCTATCCCTACAGTAACCGGGCGGCAGCAACAGTAACCGGGTGGCAGCAACAGTAACCGGGTGGCAGCAACAGAAACCGGGCGCGGCAGCAACAGTGTCTGGGCGGCAGCAACAGTGTCTGGGCGGCAGCAACAGTGTCTGGGCGGCAGCAACAGTGTCTGGGCGGCAGCAACAGTGATGGGGCGGCAGCAACAGTGTCTGGGCGGCAGCAACAGTGTCTGGGCGGCACCAATAGTGTCTGGGCGGCACCAACAGTGTCTGGGCGGCAGCAACAGTGTCTGGATGGCAGCAACAGTGTCTGGATGGCAGCAACAGTACCTGGGCGGCAGCAACAGTACCTGGGCGGCAGCAACAGTACCTGGGCGGCAGCAACAGTGTATGGACGGAATCAACAGTGTCTGGGGAGCATCAACAGCATCTGGGCGGTAGCAACAGTGTCTGGGCGGCAGCAACAGTAAGGGGGCGGCTGGAACAGTAACCGGGCGGCAGGCTGCTGGAACAGGGGCCAGGCTGAAACCCCGTGGGCCCGAGCTCCCCACCCCAGGCCCGGCCAAACCAGACCAGGCCAGGGCATGGCTATATAGTAGGCATGCCCATACATACAAGCACACATATCAAGTCCTACAATCCTAGCTACACAGACAGATTCTACCACTGAAATTAGTTAAGCAGTTATCATGCGTGCTAGAACATCATAAGCGTAATAAATGAAGGCATGGCAAGGCTATAGGTTTGTGGCATGAGAAGGGTGTGGTTTGAACGCACGTGCAGAGAGTGAAAGCATGTGGAGGAGGGACGGCAAGGGAGGGGGGGGGGGGGAGAGATGCCACGAGTGAGGAGTGGCAGCTTCTCACCTGGCTGGCTGTTTTGGGCAATGAGTGAGTGGGGGGAGGGAGCATAGCAAGTGAGTGCGGGGAGCATGGCGAGCAAGCGGGGATGGCAGAGGGGTGAACAGAGGGAACAGAGGGAACAAAAGGTGGGTGAACAGTGGGGAAAAAACCGTGGTGTGAACAACGGGGGACGGAGAAACAGTGGTGTGAACATTTCGGGACGGGGAAACAATGGCGTGAACAGTGGGGGACGGGGAAACAATGGCATGAACAGTGGGGGACGGGGAAACGGTGGTGTGAAAAGTGGGTGAACAGTAAAGGTGAGTGCAGGGGAGCAGAGGTGAGTGCAGGGGAGCAGAGGTGAGTGCAGGGGAGCAGAGGTGAGTGCAGGGGAGCAGAGGTGAGCGCAGGGGAGCAGAGGTGAGCGCAGGGGAGCAGAGGTGAGCGCAGGGGAGCAGAGGTGAGCGCAGGGGAGCAGAGGTGAGCGCAGGGGAGCAGAGATGAGTGCTGGGGAGCAGTGGGGAAAGGTGAATAAAGGGGAGCGGTGGTGGGGGAAGGTGAAGAGTGGTGATAAGTGGGGGGGGATGGTGAGTGTGGGGAGCAGAGGTGGTGAGTGTGGAGGCAATCTCCCTCGCCTCCCTCCCTCTCACCACGCAACGCAACGCAAGCAACGTACCTTGCGCACTGCAACGCAACGCAAGCAACGTACCTTGCGCACTGCACTGGCCGAGCCTCATCCAGACCAGAGCCGAGCCGAACCTCGTCCGACGTCGAGGCCAAGTCCGGCAGACCTCAGCCACCTCCTTCACCGAAGAGCAAACAAGGGGTACTATAACGCAGAGCGTGGACAATAAAGAGAGTGACAATAGCGAGAGGGGAGATGAAACCCCCCCATGACCCCCCCCAAGGCCCCCCCAAGGCCCCCCCAAGGCCCCCCCAAGGCCCCCCCAAGGCCCCCCCAAGGCCCCCCCAAGGCCCCCCTAAGGCCCCCCTACCCCCCAATCCTCCTCACAGCCCCCCACCCCGCCCCCCAAAATCCCTGGCATGGGCATGGTCCCCCCCTATCCCTACAGTAACCGGGCGGCAGCAACAGTAACCGGGTGGCAGCAACAGTAACCGGGTGGCAGCAACAGTAACCGGGCGCAGCAGCAACAGTGTCTGGGCGGCAGCAACAGTGTCTGGGCGGCAGCAACAGTGTATGGGCGGCAGCAACAGTGTCTGGGCGGCAGCAACAGTGTCTGGGCGGCAGCAACAGTGTCTGGGCGGCAGCAACAGTGTCTGGGCGGCAGCAACAGTGTCTGGGCGGCAACAACAGTGTCTGGGCGGCAACAACAGTGTCTGGGCGGCACCAATAGTGTCTGGGCGGCACCAACAGTGTCTGGGCGGCAGCAACAGTGTCTGGATGGCAGCAACAGTGTCTGGATGGCAGCAACAGTACCTGGGCGGCAGCAACAGTACCTGGGCGGCAGCAACAGTACCTGGGCGGCAGCAACAGTGTATGGACGGAATCAACAGTGTCTGGGGAGCATCAACAGCATCTGGGCGGTAGCAACAGTGTCTGGGCGGCAGCAACAGTAAGGGGGCGGCTGGAACAGTAACCGGGCGGCAGGCTGCTGGAACAGGGGCCAGGCTGAAACCCCGTGGGCCCGAGCTCCCCACCCCAGGCCCGGCCAAACCAGACCAGGCCAGGGCATGGCTATATAGTAGGCATGCCCATACATACAAGCACACATATCAAGTCCTACAATCCTAGCTACACAGACAGATTCTACCACTGAAATTAGTTAAGCAGTTATCATGCGTGCTAGAACATCATAAGCGTAATAAATGAAGGCATGGCAAGGCTATAGGTTTGTGGCATGAGCAGGGTGTGGTTTGAACGCACGTGCAGAGAGTGAAAGCATGTGGAGGAGGGACGGCAAGGGAGGGGGGGGGGGGGGAGAGATGCCACGAGTGAGGAGTGGCAGCTTCTCACCTGGCTGGCTGTTTTGGGCAATGAGTGAGTGGGGGGAGGGAGCATAGCAAGTGAGTGCGGGGAGCATGGCGAGCAAGCGGGGATGGCAGAGGGGTGAACAGAGGGAACAGAGGGAACAAAAGGTGGGTGAACAGTGGGGAAAAAACCGTGGTGTGAACAACGGGGGACGGAGAAACAGTGGTGTGAACATTTCGGGACGGGGAAACAATGGCGTGAACAGTGGGGGACGGGGAAACAATGGCATGAACAGTGGGGGACGGGGAAACGGTGGTGTGAAAAGTGGGTGAACAGTAAAGGTGAGTGCAGGGGAGCAGAGGTGAGTGCAGGGGAGCAGAGGTGAGTGCAGGGGAGCAGAGGTGAGTGCAGGGGAGCAGAGGTGAGCGCAGGGGAGCAGAGGTGAGCGCAGGGGAGCAGAGGTGAGCGCAGGGGAGCAGAGGTGAGCGCAGGGGAGCAGAGGTGAGCGCAGGGGAGCAGAGGTGACCGCAGGGGAGCAGAGGTGAGCGCAGGGGAGCAGAGATGAGTGCAGGGGAGCAGAGGTGAGCGCAGGGGAGCAGAGGTGAGCGCAGGGGAGCAGAGGTGAGCGCAGGGGAGCAGAGGTGAGCGCAGGGGAGCAGAGGTGAGCGCAGGGGAGCAGAGGTGAGCGCAGGGGAGCAGAGGTGAGCGCAGGGGAGCAGAGATGAGTGCTGGGGAGCAGTGGGGAAAGGTGAATAAAGGGGAGCGGTGGTGGGGGAAGGTGAAGAGTGGTGATAAGTGGGGGGGGATGGTGAGTGTGGGGAGCAGAGGTGGTGAGTGTGGAGGCAATCTCCCTCGCCTCCCTCCCTCTCACCACGCAACGCAACGCAAGCAACGTACCTTGCGCACTGCAACGCAACGCAAGCAACGTACCTTGCGCACTGCAACGCAACGCAAGCAGCGTACCTTGCGCACTGCACTGGCCGAGCCTCATCCAGACCAGAGCCGAGCCGAACCTCGTCCGACGTCGAGGCCAAGTCCGGCAGACCTCAGCCACCTCTGGGGTGGGAGGGTGGAGGGTGAGAGAGGCGGTGATTGGGGGGGAAGAGGAGGCGAGGGGGGATTAAGGAGGTCAGGGGGGGAGGGCATAACGAGTGCACATCTCAAGCGCGTTTACGAGGTGAGTACGTACGGGGGACAGGGGAGGGTGAGAAGAGGGGTGGACAGGAGGTGAGAAGAGAGGACGAGAGGAGGTGAGTACGGGGGACGGACGAGGCGAGGAGAGGGCAGTACAGGAGGTAACGACGCCTCGTTAAACAGTGGGGGGGGGGGGGGGGGGGGGGGGATGCCACGAGTGAGGAGTGGCAGCTTCTCACCTGGCTGGATGTTTCGGGCAATGAGTGAGTGGGGGGAGGGGAGGGAGCATAGCAAGTGAGTGCGGGGAGCATGGCGAGCAAGCGGGGATGGCAGAGGGGTGAACAGAGGGAACAGAGGGAACAAAAGGTGGGTGAACAGTGGGGAAAAAACCGTGGTGTGAACAACGGGGGACGGAGAAACAGTGGTGTGAACATTTGGGGACGGGGAAACAATGGCGTGAACAGTGGGGGACGGGGAAACGGTGGTGTGAAAAGTGGGTGAACAGTAAAGGTGAGTGCAGGGGAGCAGAGGTGAGTGCAGGGGAGCAGAGGTGAGTGCAGGGGAGCAGAGGTGAGTGCAGGGGAGCAGAGGTGAGCGCAGGGGAGCAGAGGTGAGCGCAGGGGAGCAGAGGTGAGCGCAGGGGAGCAGAGGTGAGCGCAGGGGAGCAGAGGTGAGCGCAGGGGAGCAGAGGTGAGCGCAGGGGAGCAGAGATGAGTGCTGGGGAGCAGTGGGGAAAGGTGAATAAAGGGGAGCGGTGGTGGGGGAAGGTGAAGAGTGGTGATAAGTGGGGGGGGATGGTGAGTGTGGGGAGCAGAGGTGGTGAGTGTGGAGGCAATCTCCCTCGCCTCCCTCCCTCTCACCACGCAACGCAACGCAAGCAACGTACCTTGCGCACTGCAACGCAACGCAAGCAACGTACCTTGCGCACTGCACTGGCCGAGCCTCATCCAGACCAGAGCCGAGCCGAACCTCGTCCGACGTCGAGGCCAAGTCCGGCAGACCTCAGCCACCTCTGGGGTGGGAGGGTGGAGGGTGAGAGAGGCGGTGATTGGGGGGGGGAAGAGGAGGCGAGGGGGGATTAAGGAGGTCAGGGGGGGAGGGCATAACGAGGGCACAAAACAAGCGCGTTTAGGAGGTGAGTACGGGGGACAGGGGAGGTGAGAAGAGAGGACGAGAGGAGATGAGTACGGGGGGACGGACGAGGTGAGGAGAGGGGAGTACAGGAGGTGATGACGCCTCGTCATGGTCTCACCTCGTGCCTCTCTCCTCGCCGCGCCGTTGCCCACCTGCCCCGCCACGTGGCCATCCGTGATTGGCTGAGAGGCGGGCGGCGGCGCCACGGTCATACGTTCTTCGTACAACTGGAGGGGGGGGATGGGGAAGAGGGGCACGGAGCTTGGGGGGGCAACTGGAGGGGGGTTCCACCAGCGCGCGACGCGCCGTTCTCCGCAGGGTTAAGGTTGACCGCGGGAAACGGCGGGAAACCGGCAGAAAAGGGCGGGAATCAGGAAAGAAGCAACACGCCGCGCCTGCAGCGCGGAACGCGCACATTGCGCCACATGCAGCGCGGAACGAGCACATTGCGCCGCCTGCAGCGCGGAACGCGCACATCGCCCCGCCTGCAGCGCGGAACGTGCACATTGCGCCGCCTGCAGCGCGGAACGAGCACATCGCGCCGCCTGCAGCGCGGAACGAGCATATCGCCCCGCCTGCAGCGCGGAACAAGCACATTGCCCCGCCTGCAGCGCGGAACAAGCACATCTCCCCGCCTGCAGCGCGGAACGCGCACATCGCCCCGCCTGCAGCACGGAACGAGCACATCGCCCCGCCTGCAGCGCGGAACGCGCACATCGCCCCGCCTGCAGCGCGGAACGCGCACATCGCCCCGCCTGCAGCGCGGAACGCGCACATCGCCCCGCCTGCAGCGCGGAACGCGCACATTGCGCCGCCTGCAGCGCGGAACGCGCACATCGCCCCGCCTGCAGCGCGGAACGAGCACATTGCGCCGCCTGCAGCGCGGAACGAGCAGGAAACGGAGGGGATCAAGTTGACCGAGGAAGACGGCGGGAAACGGCGGGAAGGAAAACCATGGGAAACCATGGGCAAGAGCGGGAAGCGGCGGGAAAAGGCTGGAAAAGAAGGGAATCAGCGCGGAAAGGGCACTAAGCCGTGCATGGGGCGCGGAGAAAAGGCAACTCGCCACGCCTGCAGCGAGGAAATGCACTTCGCCGTGCCTGCAGCGCTGAAAAAAGCAACTCGCCGCGCCTGCAGCGCGGAAGACGCACTTGGCCACGCCTCTCAGCTGGCAGTGCCGAGCCTCTCACCAGGCAGTGCCGAGCCTCTCATGGCGCGCGATCCGCCGCCTACCACGTGGCGCGCGATCCGCCGCCTACCACGTGGCGCGCGATCCGCCGCCTGGTGATGCCGCTGCCTGGTGGGAGAGGTAGGTAAGTGGGAGAGGTAAGTGCTGATCTGATAGGAACATTTGCCGTCAAATATAAAACAAAGAAAGAAGAACAACATAACAGAAATGATAGGACGAGCAAAGCTGAACACAAAAGGAGGCAGTGAAGCAGGAAGCACCCGCTACGAGTTAAGAAGTCCAAGGCGCCTGGTGAGAGTGTTGAGCGGGAAACGGCGGGAAAAGGCAGGAGGCAGAACATGGAGAGGAGAGGAAGGGCCGGGGAAGAGGGAAACTTTAGCTAAAAATATAATCTCACCGTGTTAATACAAATATAAATCGCATCTAAACAACCGGAGCATCTGCTGGAACGCGGAATAACTCTCACGGGGGCCTAAGCTGCTGCGCCCACCATTCCGTCAGCGGCGTGACATCGGCCATCTGCTGCCGCGGCGCGCCATTCCGCCATCTGCTGCGCGCGCCAATTCGCCTGCTGCTGCGCGCGCCATTCTCCCTGCTGCTGAACGATTTATGACTAAGAGAAACAAAAATAAAAATGCTAAGAGAATGCTACTAAGAGCATTTAGAGGAATGACTATAGAACGCTACTACTAGTGAAACCGTCCAGTGAGAGCGACGCTGGGAGAAGAAGAGCAGTCGAGAGAAAGAGGAGGAGGTTAACAATGGGAGAGTTGAAGCGTTGAAAAACATCTGCTGCTGCGGTGAGAGAAGAAACGCGTCTTTGCACTACAGGACAATATCACGACCGTTCGACGGTGAGGTCCAACCGAGCCACCTCGCGCGCACGCGCTTTCGCTCCGCGCAGCGACCCGTGTGACATGACATCGCATGCTGCAGATTTAACGGACATCTAACGCTATATCTGCAAATGAGAAAAAGCGCGGGGCGAATAAACGAAAGCACCGCGCAGGGAGCAGCGCGAGGCGCGCATGACGACGACAATTTAACGGGCGCGAAGCGTGCAAGGCGCGCGAACAAACACTGGACTGAGACCTTACTAATGCGAATGACACGGCAGCGGATTAGGTGGTTGTGAGCTAACTGAGAAGGGCGAGGCGAGGAATGCGAGAGAATCGAGTTTGGTGCGGAGAGGAGAGGTGGATGAGATTGAAACCCACCCTCCCACAAAATGTTTTGTAACAAGGAGGGCAGAGAGAAACAAAAGGGAAAGCTAACTCCACACCCTAATCTGAAAATGGAAGAGAGTCAACTGAGTGGATCCGATTTACACGTACAAATGTACGGGCGGAATAAAAAAACGAAAAAAAAATGTTGTAAGACGATGCGCGTCACATTCGCCACTCACAGCACAAACGGATGTTCCTATCTGATTGTTACTGTGGTTTGAGGCGCGAGTCGACTTGCAGCCTCCGCAGTTGTGCAGCTACACCTCCAGAGTACTAAGTAATATCTCCTACATGAACATGTTCGCACTTATCAAGTACATTTGAAAAAACAAAAAGGCATTGGCTCATAATAAGGAAATGTTTACAAGATAAGGTTTATAACATATGCACATGGGCTAATTAAATGGATATTATAGGGCCGTATTATTTTCTTTCCTCGTTGAAGCGAAGCGTCTCCATATGTCGTTATAAAACGAACTAACGTCACAGGCAACAAAAAAGGTGCGCGTAATTACTTCAAATATAAGGACGACGATGACAAGTACGGGAACAACAACGAGGACGCGGAGGAGGAGGAGGAGGAGGAGGAGGAGGAGGAGGAGGAGGAGGAGGAGGAGGAGGAGGAGGAGGAGGAGGAGGAGGAGGAGGAGGAGGAGGAGGAGGAGGAGGAGGATGCGGAGGAGGAGGAGCAGGAGCAGGAGCGGGAGTAGGTGCAGGAGGAGGAGCAGGAGGAGGGGAGGAGGAGGAAACATCAGTGGGAGTACTAGCGGCAAACGGCAGCAGTGCGCAATAGCCTTACCATCAAGCAGCACTAGGAAACGCTAGCGGCGAACAGTAGCTGTGCGCAACAGCCTCACCATTGAGCAGCAACATAAAATGTTCAGCAGAAGTATGAAACACCACCACGAGCACAAACAACGAACGGTAGTAGTGAGCATCCGCCTCACCATCGAGCAGCAATGGAAAATGTTCAATAGCAGTAGGAAACAACAAGAGTACCACAAGCTTGAACGGTAGTTTTGAGAATCTGGCTTGCAATTGAGCAGCAACAGGAAATGTTCAACAGCAGTAGGAAAAAACAGCACGAGCAAAAGAAGGGAACGATAGTAGTGAGCATCCGCCTCACCATCGAGCAGCAGCTGAAAATGCAGTAGTAGTAGTGAGCATTCGCCTCACCATCGAGTAGCATCACCATCGAGCAGCAACAGAACAGGGGTGACAACGACCAGGAGGGCGACGACAACGAGGCGGAGGAGGACAAGGAGGAGGAGGAGGAGGAGGAGGAGGAGGAGGAGGAGGAGGAGGAGGAGGAGGAGGAGGAGGAGGAGGAGGAGGAGGAAGACGACGAGGACCAGGACGAAGAGCAGGAGCAGGAGCAGGGGCAGGAGGAGGAGGAGGAGGAGGAGGAGGAGGAGGAGGAGGAGGAGGAGGAGGAGGAGGAGGAGGAGGAGGAGGAGGAGGAGGAGGAGGAGGAGAACGAGGAGGACGAGGAGGAGGAGGAGAAGGAGGAGTAGGAGGAGGAAGACGAGAAGGAGGAGGAGGAAGAGGAGGAGGAGGAGGAGGAGGAGGAGGAGGAGGAGGAGGAGGAGGAGGAGGAGGAGGAGGAGGAGGAGGAGGAGGAGGAAACACCAGTATGAGCACAAACAGCAAACAGCTGTACTTAGCATCCGCCTCACAATCGAGCAGCAACAAAAAATACTCAGCAGCAGTATGAAACACCATCACGAGCACAAGCAGCAAACGGTAGTAGTGAGCATCCACCTCACCATCAAGCAACAACAGATAATATCCAGCAGCAGTAGGAAACACCAGCACGAGCACAAGCAGCGAACTGTAGTAGTGAGAAACCACCTCACCATCGAGCAGCAACTGAAGATGTTCAGCAGCCGTAGGAAACACCAGCACGAGCACAAGCAGCGAAAGGTAGTAGTCAGCATCCGCCTCACCATCGAGAAGCAACGGAAAATGTTCAGCAGCAGTAGAAAACACCAGCACGAACACAAGCAGCGAACGATAGTAGTGAGCATCCGCCTCACCATCGAGCAGCAGCTGAAAATGCAGTAGTAGTGAGCATTCGCCTCACCATCGAGCAGCAACGGAAAATGCTAAACAGCACTAGGAAACACCAGCACGAGCAGAAGTAGCGAACGGCAGTAGTGAGCATTCGCCTCACCATCGAGCAGCAACGGAAAATGCTCAGCAGCACTAGGATACACCAGCACGAGCACAAGGAGCGAACGGCAACAGTGAGCATTCGCCTCACCATCGAGCAGCAATATAAAATGTTCAGCAGTGATAAGAAGCAACCGGACCAGCACAAGCAGCGAATGGTAGTAGTGAGCATCTGCCTCGCCATCGAGCAGCAACAGAACAGGTGTGACAAGGATGGTGAAGGTGACAACGACGAGGAGGAAGAGGGCAGGGAGGAGGAAGACGACGACGAGGAGGACCAGGACGAGGAGCTGGAGCAGGAGCAGGAGCAGGAGCAGGAGCAGGAGGAGAAGGAGGAAGAGGAGGAGGAAGAGGAGGAGGAGGAGGAGAAGGAGGAGGAGGAGGAGGAGGAGGAGGAATAGGAGGAGGAGGAGGAGGAGGAGGAGGAAGAGGAGGAGGAGGACGAGGATGAGGAGGAAGACGAGGAGGAGGAGGAGGAGGAGTAGGAGTAGGAGGAGAAGGAGGAGGAGGAGGAGGAGGAGGAGGAGGAGGAGGAGGAGGAGGAGGAGGAGGAGGAGGAGGAGGAGGAGGGCGACGAGAAAGAAGTCGACGACGATGAGGTGGAGGAAGACGAGGAGGAGGAGGGGAACGAGGAGTAGGAGGAGGAAGACGAGAAGGAGGAGGAGGAAGAGGAGGAGGAGGAGGAGGAGGAGGAGGAGGAGGAGGAGGAGGAGGAGGAGGAGGAGGAGGAGGAGGAGGAAACACCAGTATGAGCACAAACAGCAAACAGTTGTACTTAGCATCCGCCTCACAATCGAGCAGCAACAGAAAATACTCAGCAGCAGTATGAAACACCAGCACGAGCACAAGCAGCGAACTGTAGTAGTGAGAAACCACCTCACCATCGAGCAGCAACTGAAGATGTTCAGCAGCCGTAGGAAACACCAGCACGAGCACAAGCAGCGAAAGGTAGTAGTCAGCATCCGCCTCACCATCGAGAAGCAACGGAAAATGTTCAGCAGCAGTAGAAAACACCAGCACGAAAACAAGCAGCGAACGATAGCAGTGAGCATCCGCCTCACCATCGAGCAGCAGCTGAAAATGCAGTAGTAGTGAGCATTCGCCTCACCATCGAGTAGCATCACCATGGAGCAGCAACAGAACAGGGGTGACAACGACCAGGAGGGCGACGACAACGAGGCGGAGGAGGACAAGGACAAGGAGGAGGAGGAGGAGGAGGAGGAGGAGGAGGAGGAGGAGGAGGAGGAGGAGGAGGAGGAGGAGGAGGAGGAGGAGGAGGAGGAGGAGGAAGACGACGAGGACCAGGACGAAGAGCAGGAGCAGGAGCAAGGGCAGGAGCAAGGGCAGGAGGAGGAGGAGGAGGAGGAGGAGGAGGAGGAGGAGGAGGAGGAGGAGGAGGAGGAGGAGGAGGAGGAGGAGGAGGAGGACAAGGAGCAGGAGGAGGAGGAGGAGGAGGAGGAGGAGGAGAAGGAGGAGGAGGAGGAGGAGGAGGAGGAGGAGGAGGACAAGGAGGAGGACGAGGAGGAGGAGGAGGGCGACGAGAAAGAAGACGACAACGATGAGGTGGAGGAAGACGAGGAGGAGGAGGAGAACGAGGAGGAGGAGGAAGACGAGGAAGAGGAGGAGGAGGAGGAGGAGGAGGAGTAGGAGGAGGAGGAGGAGGAGGAGGAGGAGGAGGAGGAGGAGGAGGAGGAGGAGGAGGAGGAGAACGAGGAGGACGAGGAGGAGGAGGAGAAGGAGGAGTAGGAGGAGGAAGACGAGAAGGAGGAGGAGGAAGAGGAGGAGGAGGAGAAGGAGGAGGAGGAGGAGGAGGAGGAGGAGGAGGAGGAGGAGGAGGAGGAGGAGGAGGAGGAGGAGGAGGAGGAGGAGGAAACACCAGTATGAGCACAAACAGCAAACAGTTGTACTTAGCATCCGCCTCACAATCCAGCAGCAACAAAAAATACTCAGCAGCAGTATGAAACACCATCACGAGCACAAGCAGCAAACGGTAGTAGTGAGCATCCACCTCACCATCAAGCAACAACAGATAATATCCAGCAGCAGTAGGAAACACCAGCACGAGCACAAGCAGCGAACTGTAGTAGTGAGAAACCACCTCACCATCGAGCAGCAACTGAAGATGTTCAGCAGCCGTAGGAAACACCAGCACGAGCACAAGCAGCGAAAGGTAGTAGTCAGCATCCGCCTCACCATCGAGAAGCAACGGAAAATGTTCAGCAGCAGTAGAAAACACCAGCACGAACACAAGCAGCGAACGATAGTAGTGAGCATCCGCCTCACCATCGAGCACCAGCTGAAAATGCAGTAGTAGTGAGCATTCGCCTCACCATCGAGCAGCAACGGAAAATGCTAAACAGCACTAGGAAACACCAGCACGAGCAGAAGTAGCGAACGGCAGTAGTGAGCATTCGCCTCACCATCGAGCAGCAACGGAAAATGCTCAGCAGCACTAGGATACACCAGCACGAGCACAAGGAGCGAACGGCAACAGTGAGCATTCGCCTCACCATCGAGCAGCAATATAAAATGTTCAGCAGTGATAAGAAGCAACCGGACCAGCACAAGCAGCGAATGGTAGTAGTGAGCATCTGCCTCGCCATCGAGCAGCAACAGAACAGGTGTGACAAGGATGGTGAAGGTGACAACGACGAGGAGGAAGAGGGCAGGGAGGAGGAAGACGACGACGAGGAGGACCAGGACGAGGAGCTGGAGCAGGAGCAGGAGCAGGAGCAGGAGCAGGAGCAGGAGCAGGAGGAGAAGGAGGAAGAGGAGGAGGAAGAGGAGGAGGAGGAGGAGGAGGAGGAGGAGGAGGAGGAGGAGGAGGAGGAGGAGGAGGAGGAAACACCAGCATGAGCACAAGCAGCAAATAGTAGTACTGAGCATCCGCCTCACAATCGAGAAGCAACAGAAAACACTCAGCAACAGTAGGAAACACCAGTACAAGCACAAGCAACGAGCGGTAGTAGTGAGTAGTCGCTTCACGATCGAGGAGCAACAGGAAATACTTAGTAGCAGTAAGCAACACTAGCATGAGCACAAGCAGCGGACGGTAGTAGTGAACATCCGCCTCACCATCAAGCAGCAACAGAAAGTATTCAGCAGCAGTAGGAAACACCAGCACGAGCACAAGCAGTGAACAGTAGTAGTGTGCATTCGCCTCACCATCGAGCAACAATATAAAATATCCAGCAGTAGTGGAAACACCATCACGAGCACAAGCAGCAAACGGTAGTAGTGAGCATCCGCCTCACCATCAAGCAACAACAGATAATATCAAGCAGCAGTAGGAAACACCAGCACGAGACAAGCAACGAACTGTAATAGTGAGAATCTGCCTCACCATCGAGCAGCAACTGAAGATGTTCAGCAGCCGTAGGAAACACCAGCACGAGCACAAGCAGCGAAAGGTAGTAGTCAGCATCCGCCTCACCATCGAGAAGCAACGGAAAATGTTCAGCAGCAGTAGAAAACACCAGCACGAACACAAGCAGCGATAGATAGTAGTGAGCATCCGCCTAACCATCGAGCAGCAGCTGAAAATGCAGTAGTAGTGAGCATTCGCCTCACCATCGAGCAGCAACGGAAAATGCTAAATAGCACTAGGAAACACCAGCACGAGCAGAAGTAGCGAACAACAGTAGTGAGCATTCGCCTCACCATCGAGCAGCAACGGAAAATGCTCAGCAGCACTAGGATACACCAGCACGAGCACAAGGAGCGAACGGCAGCAGTGAGTATTCGCCTCACCATCGAGCAGCAATATAAAATGTTCAGCAGCGATAAGAAGCAACCGGACCAGCACAAGCAGCGAATGGTAGTAGTGAGCATCTGCCTCGCCATCGAGCAGCAACAGAACAGGTGTGACAAGGACGGGGAAGGCGACGACGACGAGGAGGAGGAGGGCAGGGAGGAGGAAGACGACGACGACGAGGACCAGGACGAGGAGCAGGAGCAGGAGCAGGAGCAGGAGCAGGAGCAGGAGGAGAAGGAGGAAGAGGAGGAGGAAGAGGAGGAGGAGGAGGAGGAGGAGGAGGAGGAGGAGGAGGAGGAGGAAAAGGAGGAGGAGGAGGAGGAAGAGGAGGAGGAGGAGAGGACGAGGATGAGGAGGAAGACAAGGAGGAGGAGGAGGAGGAGGAGGAGGAGGAGGAGGAGGAGGAGGAGGAGGAGGAGGAGGAGGAGGAGGAGGAGGAGGAGGAGGAGGAGGACCATGACGACGACGAGGAGGAGAAAGACGAGGAGGACGAGGAGGAAGAGGAGGAGGAGGAGGAGGAGGAGGAGGAGGAGGAGGAGGAGGAGGAGGAGGAAGAGGAGGAGGAGGAGGAGGAGGAGGAAAAGGAGGAGGAGGAGGAGGAGGAACTGTACTGTATGGTTTGTCCACTCGCTCAGTTTTTGTTGGCAGAGTGGTTCGGAGCGGCAGTGCGTGGTGCTGGGCCGTTGTGTGTGGTCATTGGTGGTGTTGAGTGCCCGTGAGTGGTGACGAGCGGTGACGAGTGGTGATGAACGGTGTAGTCTGCCTACGGTGTGACGTTGATGTCCGTCTCCCGCCTCTCGACTACTGCAAACAAGGATGCCTTGAGCATCATGGAAACGGTTGTGAGGACTGTACAACACTGGTGGTTGTGCTTGTCTAGTGATTCTTAACCATTTGTGTCATCCCAACGATCAAGATAGGTTCAACGTGTTTCATTTCTTCGCATAGCATCCTCTTGTATCACTTTACCGTACATTGTGCAAAAATTCTGGAGACAAAGCATTCTGAACTTCAGCAGCAGCACAAACAATGACATCGGCAGCAACAGCAGGGCAGCAGTAGCAAGCAGCAACAGCAGAGCAGCAGCAAGCAGTGACGGCAGCAGCAGTAGCAAGCAGTGACGGCAGCAGCAGGAGCAAGCAAGCATTGACAGCAGCAGCAGGAGCAAGCGAGTAGTGACAGCAGCAGCAGGAGCAAGCAAGCAGTGACTGCAGCAGCAGGAGTAAGCAAGCAGTGACGGCAGCAGCAGGAGTAAGCAAGCAGTGACGGCAGCAGCAGGAGTAAGCAAGCAGTGACGGCAGCAGCAGGAGCAAGCAAGCAGTGACGGCAGCAGCAGGAGTAAGCAAGCAGTGACAGCAGCAGCAGGAGTAAGCAAGCAGTGACGGCAGCAGCAGGAGCAAGCAAGCAGTGACGGCAGCAGCAGGAGTAAGCAAGCAGTGACGGCAGCAGCAGGAGTAAGCAAGCAGTGACGGCAGCAGCAGTAGCAAGCAAGCAGTGTCGGCAGCAGCAGTAGCAAGCAAGCAGTGACGGCAGTAGCAGGAGCAAGCTAGCAGGGTTTAAAGGTGTATAGCGACTGGCCGACTTTCCCGCAGTTGTATTGCAAGGGGGAGCTGGTTGGGGGGTGTGATATTGTGCTGCAGATGCACGAGAGTGGGGAGTTGAAAGAGGTGTTTGCAGAGAAAGGGGTGCTGGGAGGGGCGGGGAAGGGAGATGCACCAGGAGCAGTGACGGCAGCAGCAGCAGCAGCAGCGGCGGATGGGCAGGTTGATGGGGCGAAGGGGTTGCAAGAGCGGCTGAAGGCACTCCTCTCGTCTTCGCCTACCATGCTGTTCATGAAGGTATGTTGGAGTAGAGTGGGTTGGGGCGTATGTGATAATCTGTATCGTCCTGCCTTAGCTAATTAAGATGATTGAAGGCACTCGTCTCGTCGTCGCCTTCCTCTCATCCCTTCCTCTCATCCCTTCCTCTCATCCCTTCCTCTCATCCCTTCCTCTCATCCCATCCTCTCTGCTGCGTTACCTCTCAGGGAACACCGGAGGAGCCGCGGTGTGGGTTCAGCCGCAAGGTGGTGGATGCAGTCCAGTCAGACATGGACTCATCGCATATTTCCTTCCTTCTTCCCCATGGCTTGTCCTCACGGCCTTGCCTTGCTTTCCCAGGGCACACCGGAGTAGCCGCAGTGTGGGTTCAGCCGCAAGGTGGTGGATGCACTCACGTCAGAAGGTATTTCCTTTGGCAGTTTTGACATTCTCACGGACGAGGCAGTGCGGCAGGGGCTGAACACATGCCTTTACACCCCCCCAACCCCCCTTCCCCTGCCTTCCTGTGCTATGTACCCATGACCATCCCCATCCCGAGAGAAGAAGGAACGCATGTGCAGGATGAACGGCTTGATGACCTTGACCGTCACGATGCGCTGCTCTTGAGTCGAGATAGGCCGAGGGTTCATCGATCAGATAGATGTCGGCAGGCTGGAGAAAGGAGAAAGTGGAAGAGGGGGAGAAAGGGAAAAAAGGGAAGGATGAACCGCTTGATGACCGTGGCTGCCACAATGCACTGCTCTTGAGTCGAGATAGGCCGATGGATCGTAAATGAGGTAGATGCCACCAAGGCAGAGGGAAATAGCGACGCACCTTCCCAAAGCAGAGGGAAATAGCCACGCACCTTCCCAAGGCAGAGGGAAATAGACACGCACCTTCCAAAGGCAGAGGGAAATAGCAACGCACCTTCCCAAGGCAGAGGGAAATAGCCACGCACCTTCCCAAGGCAGAGGGAAATAGCCACGCACCTTTCCAAGGCAGAGGGAAATAGCCACGCACCTTCCCAAGGCAGAGGGAAATAGCCATGCACCTTCCCAAGGCAGAGGGAAATAGCGACGCACCTTCCCAAGGCAGAGGGAAATAGCCATGCACCTTCCCAAGGCAGAGGGAAATAGCCACTCACCTTCCAAGGCAGAGGGAAATAGCCACGCACCTTCCCAAGGCAGAGGGAAATAGCCACGCACCTTCCCAAGGCAGAGGGAAATAGCCACGCACCTTCCCAAGGCAGAGGGAAATAGCCACGCACTTTCCCAAAACAGAGTAATATAGCCACGCACCTTCCCAAGGCAGAGGGAAATAGCCACGCACCTTCCCAAGGCAGAGGGAAATAGCCACGCACCTTCCAAGGCAGAGGGAGATAGCCACGCACCTTCCCAAAGCGGAGGGAAATAGCCACGCACCTTCCCAAGGCAGAGGGAAATAGCCACGCACCTTCCCAAGGCAGAGGGAAATAGCCACGCACCTTCCCAAGGCAGAGCGAAATAGCCACGCACCTTCCCAAAACAGAGGGAAATAGCGACGCACCTTCCCAAGGCAGAGGGAAATAGCCACGCGCTGCAGCTCTCCTCCTGACAAATTCACCACCTCCTGGTCGAGCAGGGGGTCGATCTGCATGAGACAACTTCTGAGCCGCCCCAAAACCATCCCAAAACCGCCCCAAAACCACCCCAAAACCGCCTCAGACCACCTTAAAATCCCAAGAGGGACTTGATGCACCCCTTCCTTACCTTGCCAAGGCACAGCGTGATGGCCACGCGCTGCAGCTCCCCTCCTGAGATTTTCACCACCTCCTGGTCGAGCAGGGGGTCGATCTGCATGGGGCAACTTCTGAGCCGCCCCAGAACCGCCCAAAACCACCTTGAACCGCCGCAGTCTCCAAGAGAGAGTTGACCAACCCACCCACTCCTTCCTTACCTTTCCCAGACAAAGGGTAATAGCCACGCGCTGCAGCTCCCCACCCGACAAATTCACCACCTCCTGGTCCAGGAGCGGGTCGATCTGCATGGGGCGCAGCACGTCGGTGTTGAACTGCGGGTGGTGGAACGAGTCTCGGATCTTGGAGTGCAGCAGCGCGCGCACGCTGTGGGGGAACTTGGGGGAGATCTTCTGCGGCTTGTACGACACGTTGAACTCCGGGAGGTCCTCGGCCTCCTTGCCGGTCTCCTCGTCCGGGTCAGCCTTTAAGAGACCAGCCTGTAAGGGGTTGAGAAGGACACAGGAGAGCGGAAAGGAGAGGAACGAGAGGGTATGAGAGGGGGAACTTGCGGCTGATCTTCTGCGGCTTGAACGACACGTTGAACTCCGGGAGGTCCTCAGCTTCTTTCCCGGTCTCCTCGTCTGGATCTGCCTTCAAGAGGCCGGCCTGGAGGGGTTCAGAACGAGACAGGAGAGGAGAGGGGAGGAGGGAGGAGAGTAACGCAGAAAACTTGGGGCTGGGCTGGTCTTCTGCGGCCTGTACAACACACTGAAATCCGGGAGATCTTCGGCTTCCTTGCCAGTTGATTCGTCCGGGTCGGCCTTTAACAGACCAGCCTGCGTGATACAAGGGAGAAGGGAGACAAGGCACGGGGGATCGAAGTGGAAAGGGAAGAAAAAGGGACGGAGAATGAGAATGGGAAGGGAAACTTGGGGCTGGGCTGGTCTTCTGCGGCCTGTACGACGCGTTGAACTCGGGAAAACCTTGGGCCTCCTTGCCGGTTTCCTCATCTGGGTCCGGCCTTGAGAGAGCCGCCTGGAAGGGAGAGAGGAGGGATGGAAGATGGATCATGGAAGGGACAGGGAGAAGAGAGAGCCAAAGAGACGTGCAAGCTGGCGATATTGGGAGACGCGGAAACGGGAAGGAAACGGGAATTTAGGAGCCAACGACTAGCCCAACCGGTATGCATATGACACAAGAGTCGGCCTATTAGCTCTTCGGAAGCATGTGGCATGGTGCGGGCACATGCAAGTTGGGCTACCGGCCTACCACCAGCCATGCACAGGTGAGAGAGTTGGCCTACCAGCATGCGGATAAGGTGGTTTCGCCGGTGCCATTCTCCCCCAGCATCACCACGATCTGCGAGTCTGTGCCTTGCGTCCACTGCCATCCCTACCTATGGTGCACACATGTGCCTACCAGCATGCGCACCCATGAGAGACAGCTTCCCTACCAGCATGCGGATAAAGGTGGTCTTGCCGGTGCCGTTCTCCCCCAGCATCACCACGATCTGTGAGTCCGTGAAGTCACCAGGTTCCACCGTCAGCTTGAATCCGCCCTGCTTCTTGACCATGCGCGGGTACTTGTAGCGCGTGTACGTCTTGGCCTCTTCAGGGTTATCGACTGGGGTTTCAGCAACCTGAGATGGAATGGAGAGGGGGGGAGGGGAAGGAGGGGCTTGAACCCGCCCTGCTTCTTGACCATGCGCGGGTACTTGTAGCGCGTGTACGTCTTGGCTTCTTCAGGATTATCCACCGGGGTTTCAGCCACCTGATGGGAGCAATGATGGGTTGAGATGGGTCAGAAATAAGGGTAATTTAGCTGCAAAGCTTGAACCCGCCCTGCTTCTTGATCATGCGCGGGTACTTGTACCGCGTGTACGTCTTGGCCTCTTCAGGATTATCCACCGGGGTTTCAGCCACCTGAGATGGAATGAAGGGGGGTGAAAGAATGGAGTGAGGGAGGGGAAGGAGGAGGTTGAACCCGCCGTGCTTCTTGATCATGCCCAAATACCTGTACCGAACCGACTGTACGTCTTGGCCTCCCTCCTCAGGATTATCCACCAGGGTTTTCGTCCCCTGATGGGAGGGGGAAAGGAGAAGAGGCACGGGCGGAGGAGAGGGAGTGGAGGGGAGGAAAGGAGTGCTTTGAGGAACCTGAGACAGCACACAGAGAGCTTCAACACGCCCTGCTTCTTGATCATGCGTGGGTACTTGTACCAAGTATATGTCTTGGCCTCGTCCGTTTCTTCCAACTTTGAAAATGAATGAGCTTTTCGTCTCAAAAATGTGGGTCTGACTTCTGAGTCGACTTTTGTGTCTTAAGTCGGCTCAAAAGATGAAAAAAAAATATGCTCATGCCCTATCTAACGAAGTTGGAAACTGAGGCAAGGAAGAAACATCCATTCACAAAGAGGAGCGACAGACAAGCAGACCCACACGGAAGGTGAGCGACTCGTCTTGAAAACGCAGGTTTCCAGCTGGTATGAAGCCGGCAAGAAAGATGTTCATTCCCTCGAGCACAGAGAAACACAAAATTCCCCTCTTTCAAGTCAACACCTAAAGCAGACTCACCCTGAAGGTGAGCGGCTCGTCTCGGAAGCGCAGGTTCTCGGTCAGAACAAAGCCGGCAAGGAAGATGTTGATGCCCCCTCGCACTGCTGATTGAATTCTAAAGGTGTGCCTGCAATATGAAAATTTTGATGTCCCGACGGACACGGTGACACCCTCACGGCAGACTCACCCTGAATGTGAGCGACTCGTCTCGGAAGCGCAGGTTCTCGGTTGGCACGAAGCCAGCCAGGAAGATGTTGATGCCCTCTCGCACGGAGAAGGGCAGCGTGACCACCCCGTAGGCACCGGGCTTGCCGTAGAGGCAGCAGATGAAGTCCGAGAGATAGTCGAGCACACTGAGATCGTGCTCCACCACAATGACGTATCTGGGGGGGGATGGGGATGATGGAATGGGGAGTGAGTGGGCAGGGCAGTGGGTGCATGGGGTGATAGCGCAGAAAAACCGCCCTGTATGCCCCTGGCTTGCCGTAGAGGCAGCACATGAAGTGGGAGAGATAGTCGAGCACACTCAGGTCACGCTCCACCACAATCACGTATCTGGAACGGTGGGGGATGCATGGAGGAATGGGGGAATGAAAGGGAGCAAGGGAAAGGGCAGTGGTGTAACAATATCGTACCACTGGTTTCATATTCCTATTCGATGTTCAAGTATTTTAGCACTAATGGATTTGGTTCAACTAGCTTGTTATTCGGTTACATATTGACTCCCTTCGAGGGGTTCAAGAACTTACTAAGGGAGTCAATATGTAACCGAATGACCAGCTATTTGAATCAAATCCAACAGTGTTTAAATACTTGAACATTGAATAGGAATATGAAACAAATGACCAGCTATGACCAGCTATTTGAATCCCTCTTTCCCTTGCTCTATCCACCAACCATTGATCGCACCTGTTCGGACCACTGACCATACCTGTCGGGGCGCAGCAGCGAGCGGATGACCTGCGCTGCCTTCAATCGCTGCCGCACGTCCAGGTAGCTGGAAGGCTCATCAAACATGTAGATGTCTCCCAGCTGCCCCGCCACCACTCCAATGGCAAACCGCTGCAGCTCGCCTCCTGACAGATGCTCCACCTCACGCTCCCACACCTGAAAGGAGTGGTGAATCGGGATGAGGATAGGTGATTAGGTGGGGAAGAGGAGAGGGCTCATCGAACATGTAGATGTCTGTCTCCCAGCTGCACCCCCACCACTCCAATGGCAAAGCGCTGCAGCTCTCCTCCGGACACGTGCTCCACCTCACGCTCCCACACCTGGACGAGGGAAGGGGAAAAAGGAGGAAGGCGAAGAGGAAGGAATTAGACGGGGGAAGTGCAACCAGATGGGGGTGTGCAAGACTAGCTCGTTGGCCCTCATGGCAAACCGATCAATGTTTTTCCCCCTACCGCCTCTTTCTGCACCCTTCTCTGTGAGCACCACACCCACCACCCCCTTCACCGAAGAGCAAACAAGGGGTACTATAACGCAGAGCGTGGACAATAAAGAGAGTGACAATAGCGAGAGGGGAGATGAAACCCCCCCATGACCCCCCCAAGGCCCCCCCAAGGCCCCCCCAAGGCCCCCCCAAGGCCCCCCCAAGGCCCCCCCAAGGCCCCCCCAAGGCCCCCCTAAGGCCCCCCTACCCCCCAATCCTCCTCACAGCCCCCCACCCCGCCCCCCAAAATCCCTGGCATGGGCATGGTCCCCCCCATCCTTGGCATGGGCATGGTCCCCCCCTATCCCTACAGTAACCGGGCGGCAGCAACAGTAACCGGGTGGCAGCAACAGTAACCGGGTGGCAGCAACAGAAACCGGGCGCGGCAGCAACAGTGTCTGGGCGGCAGCAACAGTGTCTGGGCGGCAGCAACAGTGTCTGGGCGGCAGCAACAGTGTCTGGGCGGCAGCAACAGTGATGGGGCGGCAGCAACAGTGTCTGGGCGGCAGCAACAGTGTCTGGGCGGCACCAATAGTGTCTGGGCGGCACCAACAGTGTCTGGGCGGCAGCAACAGTGTCTGGATGGCAGCAACAGTGTCTGGATGGCAGCAACAGTACCTGGGCGGCAGCAACAGTACCTGGGCGGCAGCAACAGTACCTGGGCGGCAGCAACAGTGTATGGACGGAATCAACAGTGTCTGGGGAGCATCAACAGCATCTGGGCGGTAGCAACAGTGTCTGGGCGGCAGCAACAGTAAGGGGGCGGCTGGAACAGTAACCGGGCGGCAGGCTGCTGGAACAGGGGCCAGGCTGAAACCCCGTGGGCCCGAGCTCCCCACCCCAGGCCCGGCCAAACCAGACCAGGCCAGGGCATGGCTATATAGTAGGCATGCCCATACATACAAGCACACATATCAAGTCCTACAATCCTAGCTACACAGACAGATTCTACCACTGAAATTAGTTAAGCAGTTATCATGCGTGCTAGAACATCATAAGCGTAATAAATGAAGGCATGGCAAGGCTATAGGTTTGTGGCATGAGAAGGGTGTGGTTTGAACGCACGTGCAGAGAGTGAAAGCATGTGGAGGAGGGACGGCAAGGGAGGGGGGGGGGGGGAGAGATGCCACGAGTGAGGAGTGGCAGCTTCTCACCTGGCTGGCTGTTTTGGGCAATGAGTGAGTGGGGGGAGGGAGCATAGCAAGTGAGTGCGGGGAGCATGGCGAGCAAGCGGGGATGGCAGAGGGGTGAACAGAGGGAACAGAGGGAACAAAAGGTGGGTGAACAGTGGGGAAAAAACCGTGGTGTGAACAACGGGGGACGGAGAAACAGTGGTGTGAACATTTCGGGACGGGGAAACAATGGCGTGAACAGTGGGGGACGGGGAAACAATGGCATGAACAGTGGGGGACGGGGAAACGGTGGTGTGAAAAGTGGGTGAACAGTAAAGGTGAGTGCAGGGGAGCAGAGGTGAGTGCAGGGGAGCAGAGGTGAGTGCAGGGGAGCAGAGGTGAGTGCAGGGGAGCAGAGGTGAGCGCAGGGGAGCAGAGGTGAGCGCAGGGGAGCAGAGGTGAGCGCAGGGGAGCAGAGGTGAGCGCAGGGGAGCAGAGGTGAGCGCAGGGGAGCAGAGGTGAGCGCAGGGGAGCAGAGATGAGTGCAGGGGAGCAGAGGTGAGCGCAGGGGAGCAGAGGTGAGCGCAGGGGAGCAGAGGTGAGCGCAGGGGAGCAGAGGTGAGCGCAGGGGAGCAGAGGTGAGCGCAGGGGAGCAGAGGTGAGCGCAGGGGAGCAGAGGTGAGCGCAGGGGAGCAGAGATGAGTGCTGGGGAGCAGTGGGGAAAGGTGAATAAAGGGGAGCGGTGGTGGGGGAAGGTGAAGAGTGGTGATAAGTGGGGGGGGATGGTGAGTGTGGGGAGCAGAGGTGGTGAGTGTGGAGGCAATCTCCCTCGCCTCCCTCCCTCTCACCACGCAACGCAACGCAAGCAACGTACCTTGCGCACTGCAACGCAACGCAAGCAACGTACCTTGCGCACTGCAACGCAACGCAAGCAGCGTACCTTGCGCACTGCACTGGCCGAGCCTCATCCAGACCAGAGCCGAGCCGAACCTCGTCCGACGTCGAGGCCAAGTCCGGCAGACCTCAGCCACCTCTGGGGTGGGAGGGTGGAGGGTGAGAGAGGCGGTGATTGGGGGGGAAGAGGAGGCGAGGGGGGATTAAGGAGGTCAGGGGGGGAGGGCATAACGAGTGCACATCTCAAGCGCGTTTACGAGGTGAGTACGTACGGGGGACAGGGGAGGGTGAGAAGAGGGGTGGACAGGAGGTGAGAAGAGAGGACGAGAGGAGGTGAGTACGGGGGACGGACGAGGCGAGGAGAGGGCAGTACAGGAGGTAACGACGCCTCGTTAAACAGTGGGGGGGGGGGGGGGGGGGGATGCCACGAGTGAGGAGTGGCAGCTTCTCACCTGGCTGGATGTTTCGGGCAATGAGTGAGTGGGGGGAGGGGAGGGAGCATAGCAAGTGAGTGCGGGGAGCATGGCGAGCAAGCGGGGATGGCAGAGGGGTGAACAGAGGGAACAGAGGGAACAAAAGGTGGGTGAACAGTGGGGAAAAAACCGTGGTGTGAACAACGGGGGACGGAGAAACAGTGGTGTGAACATTTGGGGACGGGGAAACAATGGCGTGAACAGTGGGGGACGGGGAAACAATGGCGTGAACAGTGGGGGACGGGGAAACGGTGGTGTGAAAAGTGGGTGAACAGTAAAGGTGAGTGCAGGGGAGCAGAGGTGAGTGCAGGGGAGCAGAGGTGAGTGCAGGGGAGCAGAGGTGAGCGCAGGGGAGCAGAGGTGAGCGCAGGGGAGCAGAGGTGAGCGCAGGGGAGCAGAGGTGAGCGCAGGGGAGCAGAGGTGAGCGCAGGGGAGCAGAGATGAGTGCTGGGGAGCAGTGGGGAAAGGTGAATAAAGGGGAGCGGTGGTGGGGGAAGGTGAAGAGTGGTGATAAGTGGGGGGGGATGGTGAGTGTGGGGAGCAGAGGTGGTGAGTGTGGAGGCAATCTCCCTCGCCTCCCTCCCTCTCACCACGCAACGCAACGCAAGCAACGTACCTTGCGCACTGCAACGCAACGCAAGCAACGTACCTTGCGCACTGCACTGGCCGAGCCTCATCCAGACCAGAGCCGAGCCGAACCTCGTCCGACGTCGAGGCCAAGTCCGGCAGACCTCAGCCACCTCTGGGGTGGGAGGGTGGAGGGTGAGAGAGGCGGTGATTGGGGGGGGGAAGAGGAGGCGAGGGGGGATTAAGGAGGTCAGGGGGGGAGGGCATAACGAGGGCACAAAACAAGCGCGTTTAGGAGGTGAGTACGGGGGACAGGGGAGGTGAGAAGAGAGGACGAGAGGAGATGAGTACGGGGGGACGGACGAGGTGAGGAGAGGGGAGTACAGGAGGTGATGACGCCTCGTCATGGTCTCACCTCGTGCCTCTCTCCTCGCCGCGCCGTTGCCCACCTGCCCCGCCACGTGGCCATCCGTGATTGGCTGAGAGGCGGGCGGCGGCGCCACGGTCATACGTTCTTCGTACAACTGGAGGGGGGGGATGGGGAAGAGGGGCACGGAGCTTGGGGGGGCAACTGGAGGGGGGTTCCACCAGCGCGCGACGCGCCGTTCTCCGCAGGGTTAAGGTTGACCGCGGGAAACGGCGGGAAACCGGCAGAAAAGGGCGGGAATCAGGAAAGAAGCAACACGCCGCGCCTGCAGCGCGGAACGCGCACATTGCGCCACATGCAGCGCGGAACGAGCACATTGCGCCGCCTGCAGCGCGGAACGCGCACATCGCCCCGCCTGCAGCGCGGAACGTGCACATTGCGCCGCCTGCAGCGCGGAACGAGCACATCGCGCCGCCTGCAGCGCGGAACGAGCATATCGCCCCGCCTGCAGCGCGGAACAAGCACATTGCCCCGCCTGCAGCGCGGAACAAGCACATCTCCCCGCCTGCAGCGCGGAACGCGCACATCGCCCCGCCTGCAGCACGGAACGAGCACATCGCCCCGCCTGCAGCGCGGAACGCGCACATCGCCCCGCCTGCAGCGCGGAACGCGCACATCGCCCCGCCTGCAGCGCGGAACGCGCACATCGCCCCGCCTGCAGCGCGGAACGCGCACATTGCGCCGCCTGCAGCGCGGAACGCGCACATCGCCCCGCCTGCAGCGCGGAACGAGCACATTGCGCCGCCTGCAGCGCGGAACGAGCAGGAAACGGAGGGGATCAAGTTGACCGAGGAAGACGGCGGGAAACGGCGGGAAGGAAAACCATGGGAAACCATGGGCAAGAGCGGGAAGCGGCGGGAAAAGGCTGGAAAAGAAGGGAATCAGCGCGGAAAGGGCACTAAGCCGTGCATGGGGCGCGGAGAAAAGGCAACTCGCCACGCCTGCAGCGAGGAAATGCACTTCGCCGTGCCTGCAGCGCTGAAAAAAGCAACTCGCCGCGCCTGCAGCGCGGAAGACGCACTTGGCCACGCCTCTCAGCTGGCAGTGCCGAGCCTCTCACCAGGCAGTGCCGAGCCTCTCATGGCGCGCGATCCGCCGCCTACCACGTGGCGCGCGATCCGCCGCCTGGTGATGCCGCTGCCTGGTGGGAGAGGTAGGTAAGTGGGAGAGGTAAGTGCTGATCTGATAGGAACATTTGCCGTCAAATATAAAACAAAGAAAGAAGAACAACATAACAGAAATGATAGGACGAGCAAAGCTGAACACAAAAGGAGGCAGTGAAGCAGGAAGCACCCGCTACGAGTTAAGAAGTCCAAGGCGCCTGGTGAGAGTGTTGAGCGGGAAACGGCGGGAAAAGGCAGGAGGCAGAACATGGAGAGGAGAGGAAGGGCCGGGGAAGAGGGAAACTTTAGCTAAAAATATAATCTCACCGTGTTAATATAAATATAAATCGCATCTAAACAACCGGAGCATCTGCTGGAACGCGGAATAACTCTCACGGGGGCCTAAGCTGCTGCGCCCACCATTCCGTCAGCGGCGCGACATCGGCCATCTGCTGCCGCGGCGCGCCATTCCGCCATCTGCTGCGCGCGCCAATTCGCCTGCTGCTGCGCGCGCCATTCTCCCTGCTGCTGAACGATTTATGACTAAGAGAAACAAAAATAAAAATGCTAAGAGAATGCTACTAAGAGCATTTAGAGGAATGACTATAGAACGCTACTACTAGTGAAACCGTCCAGTGAGAGCGACGCTGGGAGAAGAAGAGCAGTCGAGAGAAAGAGGAGGAGGTTAACAATGGGAGAGTTGAAGCGTTGAAAAACATCTGCTGCTGCGGTGAGAGAAGAAACGCGTCTTTGCACTACAGGACAATATCACGACCGTTCGACGGTGAGGTCCAACCGAGCCACCTCGCGCGCACGCGCTTTCGCTCCGCGCAGCGACCCGTGTGACATGACATCGCATGCTGCAGATTTAACGGACATCTAACGCTATATCTGCAAATGAGAAAAAGCGCGGGGCGAATAAACGAAAGCACCGCGCAGGGAGCAGCGCGAGGCGCGCATGACGACGACAATTTAACGGGCGCGAAGCGTGCAAGGCGCGCGAACAAACACTGGACTGAGACCTTACTAATGCGAATGACACGGCAGCGGATTAGGTGGTTGTGAGCTAACTGAGAAGGGCGAGGCGAGGAATGCGAGAGAATCGAGTTTGGTGCGGAGAGGAGAGGTGGATGAGATTGAAACCCACCCTCCCACAAAATGTTTTGTAACAAGGAGGGCAGAGAGAAACAAAAGGGAAAGCTAACTCCACACCCTAATCTGGAAATGGAAGAGAGTCAACTGAGTGGATCCGATTTACACGTACAAATGTACGGGCGGAATAAAAAAACGAAAAAAAAAAATGTTGTAAGACGATGCGCGTCACATTCGCCACTCACAGCACAAACGGATGTTCCTATCTGATTGTTACTGTGGTTTGAGGCGCGAGTCGACTTGCAGCCTCCGCAGTTGTGCAGCTACACCTCCATAGTACTAAGTAATATCTCCTACATGAACATGTTCGCACTTATCAAGTACATTTGAAAAAACAAAAAGGCATTGGCTCATAATAAGGAAATGTTTACAAGATAAGGTTTATAACATATGCACATGGGCTAATTAAATGGATATTATAGGGCCGTATTATTTTCTTTCCTCGTTGAAGCGAAGCGTCTCCATATGTCGTTATAAAACGAACTAACGTCACAGGCAACAAAAAAGGTGCGCGTAATTACTTCAAATATAAGGACGACGATGACAAGTACGGGAACAACAACGAGGACGCGGAGGAGGAGGAGGAGGAGGAGGAGGAGGAGGAGGAGGAGGAGGAGGAGGAGGAGGAGGAGGAGGAGGAGGAGGAGGAGGAGGAGGAGGAGGAGGAGGAGGAGGAGGAGGAGGAGGAGGAGGAGGAGGATGCGGAGGAGGAGGAGCAGGAGCAGGAGCGGGAGTAGGTGCAGGAGGAGGAGCAGGAGGAGGGGAGGAGGAGGAAACATCAGTGGGAGTACTAGCGGCAAACGGCAGCAGTGCGCAATAGCCTTACCATCAAGCAGCACTAGGAAACGCTAGCGGCGAACAGTAGCTGTGCGCAACAGCCTCACCATTGAGCAGCAACATAAAATGTTCAGCAGAAGTATGAAACACCACCACGAGCACAAACAACGAACGGTAGTAGTGAGCATCCGCCTCACCATCGAGCAGCAATGGAAAATGTTCAATAGCAGTAGGAAACAACAAGAGTACCACAAGCTTGAACGGTAGTTTTGAGAATCTGGCTTGCAATTGAGCAGCAACAGGAAATGTTCAACAGCAGTAGGAAAAAACAGCACGAGCAAAAGAAGAGAACGATAGTAGTGAGCATCCGCCTCACCATCGAGCAGCAGCTGAAAATGCAGTAGTAGTGAGCATTCGCCTCACCATCGAGTAGCATCACCATCGAGCAGCAACAGAACAGGGGTGACAACGACCAGGAGGGCGACGACAACGAGGAGGAGGAGGACAAGGAGGAGGAGGAGGAGGAGGAGGAGGAGGAGGAGGAGGAGGAGGAGGAGGAGGAGGAGGAGGAGGAGGAGGAGGAGGAAGACGACGAGGACCAGGACGAAGAGCAGGAGCAGGAGCAGGGGCAGGAGGAGGAGGAGGAGGAGGAGGAGGAGGAGGAGGAGGAGGAGGAGGAGGAGGAGGAGGAGGAGGAGGAGGAGGAGGAGGAGGAGGAGGAGGAGGAGGAGGAGGACAAGGAGCAGGAGGAGGAGAAGGAGGAGGAGGAGGAGGAGGAGGAGGAGGAGGAGGAGGAGGAGGAGGAGGAGGACAAGGAGGAGGACGAGGAGGAGGAGGAGGGCGACGAGAAAGAAGACGACAACGATGAGGTGGAGGAAGACGAGGAGGAGGAGGAGAACGAGGAGGAGGAGGAAGACGAGGAGGAGGAGGAGGAGGAGGAGGAGGAGGAGGAGGAGGAGGAGGAGGAGGAGGAGGAGGAGGAGGAGGAGGAGGAGGAGGAGGAGGAGGAGGAAACACCAGCATGAGCACAAGCAGCAAATAGTAGTACTGAGCATCCGCCTCACAATCGAGAAGCAACAGAAAACACTCAGCAACAGTAGGAAGCACCAGTACAAGCACAAGCAGCGAACGGTAGTAGTGAGTAGTCGCTTCACCATCGAGGAGCAACAGGAAATACTTAGTAGCAGTAGGCAACACTAGCACGAGCACAAGCAGCGGACGGTAGTAGTGAACATCCGCCTCACCATCAAGCAGCAACAGAAAGTATTCAGCAGCAGTAGGAAACACCAGCACGAGCACAAGCAGTGAACAGTAGTAGTGTGCATTCGCCTCACCATCGAGCAACAATATAAAATATCCAGCAGTAGTGGAAACACCATCACGAGCACAAGCAGCAAACGGTAGTAGTGAGCATCCGCCTCACCATCAAGCAACAACAGATAATATCCAGCAGCAGTAGGAAACACCAGCACGAGCACAAGCAGCGAACTGTAATAGTGAGAATCCGCCTCACCATCGAGCAGCAACTGAAGATGTTCAGCAGCCGTAGGAAACACCAGCACGAGCACAAGCAGCGAAAGGTAGTAGTCAGCATCCGCCTCACCATCGAGAAGCAACGGAAAATGTTCAGCAGCAGTAGAAAACACCAGCACGAACACAAGCAGCGAAAGATAGTAGTGAGCATCCGCCTAACCATCGAGCAGCAGCTGAAAATGCAGTAGTAGTGAGCATTCGCCTCACCATCGAGCAGCAACGGAAAATGCTAAATAGCACTAGGAAACACCAGCACGAGCAGAAGTAGCGAACAACAGTAGTGAGCATTCGCCTCACCATCGAGCAGCAACGGAAAATGCTCAGCAGCACTAGGATACACCAGCACGAGCACAAGGAGCGAACGGCAGCAGTGAGTATTCGCCTCACCATCGAGCAGCAATATAAAATGTTCAGCAGCGATAAGAAGCAACCGGACCAGCACAAGCAGCGAATGGTAGTAGTGAGCATCTGCCTCGCCATCGAGCAGCAACAGAACAGGTGTGACAAGGACGGGGAAGGCGACGACGACGAGGAGGAGGAGGGCAGGGAGGAGGAAGACGACGACGACGAGGACCAGGACGAGGAGCAGGAGCAGGAGCAGGAGCAGGAGCAGGAGCAGGAGCAGGAGGAGAAGGAGGAAGAGGAGGAGGAAGAGGAGGAGGAGGAGGAGGAGGAGGAGGAGGAGGAGGAGGAGGAGGAGGAGGAGGAGGAGGAGGAGGAGGAAAAGGAGGAGGAGGAGGAGGAAGAGGAGGAGGAGGAGAGGACGAGGATGAGGAGGAAGACGAGGAGGAGGAGGAGGAGGAGGAGGAGGAGGAGGAGGAAAAGGAGGAGGAGGAGGAGGAGGAGGAGGAGGAGGAGGAGGAGGAGGAGGAGGAGGAGGAGGAGGAGGAGGAGGAGGAAAAGGAGGAGGAGGAGGAGGAGGAGGAGGAGGAGGAGGAGGAGGAGGAGGAGGAGGAGGAGGAGGAGGAGGAGGAGGAGGACCATGACGACGACGAGGAGGAGAAAGACGAGGAGGACGAGGAGGAAGAGGAGGAGGAGGAGGAGGAGGAGGAGGAGGAGGAGGAGGAGGAGGAGGAGGAGGAGGAGGAAGAGGAGGAGGAGGAGGAGGAGGAAAAGGAGGAGGAGGAGGAGGAACTGTACTGTATGGTTTGTCCACTCGCTCAGTTTTTGTTGGCAGAGTGGTTCGGAGCAGCAGTGCGTGGTGCTGGGCCGTTGTGTGTGGTCATTGGTGGTGTTGAGTGCCCGTGAGTGGTGACGAGCGGTGACGAGTGGTGATGAACGGTGTAGTCTGTCTACGGTGTGACGTTGATGTCCGTCTCCCGCCTCTCGACTACTGCAAACAAGGATGCCTTGAGCATCATGGAAACGGTTGTGAGGACTGTACAACACTGGTGGTTGTGCTTGTCTAGTGATTCTTAACCATTTGTGTCATCCCAACGATCAAGATAGGTTCAACGTGTTTCATTTCTTCGCATAGCATCCTCTTGTATCACTTTACCGTACATTGTGCAAAAATTCTGGAGACAAAGCATTCTGAACTTCAGCAGCAGCACAAACAATGACATCGGCAGCAACAGCAGGGCAGCAGTAGCAAGCAGCAACAGCAGAGCAGCAGCAAGCAGTGACGGCAGCAGCAGTAGCAAGCAGTGACGGCAGCAGCAGGAGCAAGCAAGCATTGACAGCAGCAGCAGGAGCAAGCGAGTAGTGACAGCAGCAGCAGGAGCAAGCAAGCAGTGACTGCAGCAGCAGGAGTAAGCAAGCAGTGACGGCAGCAGCAGGAGTAAGCAAGCAGTGACGGCAGCAGCAGGAGTAAGCAAGCAGTGACGGCAGCAGCAGGAGCAAGCAAGCAGTGTCGGCAGCAGCAGTAGCAAGCAAGCAGTGACGGCAGTAGCAGGAGCAAGCTAGCAGGGTTTAAAGGTGTATAGCGACTGGCCGACTTTCCCGCAGTTGTATTGCAAGGGGGAGCTGGTTGGGGGGTGTGATATTGTGCTGCAGATGCACGAGAGTGGGGAGTTGAAAGAGGTGTTTGCAGAGAAAGGGGTGCTGGGAGGGGCGGGGAAGGGAGATGCACCAGGAGCAGTGACGGCAGCAGCAGCAGCAGCAGCGGCGGATGGGCAGGTTGATGGGGCGAAGGGGTTGCAAGAGCGGCTGAAGGCACTCCTCTCGTCTTCGCCTACCATGCTGTTCATGAAGGTATGTTGGAGTAGAGTGGGTTGGGGCGTATGTGATAATCTGTATCGTCCTGCCTTAGCTAATTAAGATGATTGAAGGCACTCGTCTCGTCGTCGCCTTCCTCTCATCCCTTCCTCTCATCCCTTCCTCTCATCCCTTCCTCTCATCCCTTCCTCTCATCCCTTCCTCTCATCCCGTCCTCTCTGCTGCGTTACCTCTCAGGGAACACCGGAGGAGCCGCGGTGTGGGTTCAGCCGCAAGGTGGTTGATGCACTCCAGTCAGACATGGACTCATCGCATGTTTCCTTCCTTCTTCCCCATGGCTTGTCCTCACGGCCTTGCCTTGCTTTCCCAGGGCACACCGGAGTAGCCGCAGTGTGGGTTCAGCCGCAAGGTGGTGGATGCACTCACGTCAGAAGGTATTTCCTTTGGCAGTTTTGACATTCTCACGGACGAGGCAGTGCGGCAGGGGCTGAACACATGCCTTTACACCCCCCCAACCCCCCTTCCCCTGCCTTCCTGTGCTATGTACCCATGACCATCCCCATCCCTTGTTATTCAGGGAACACCGCAGGAGCCGCGGTGTGGGTTCAGCCGCAAGGTGGTGGATGCAGTCAAGTCAGACATGGACTCATCGCATGTTTCCCCCCCTCTTCCCCCCTTCTTCCCCCCCTCTTCCCCCCCTCTTCCCCCCCTCTTCCCCCCCTCTTCCCCATGGCTTGTCCTCACGGCCTTGCCTTGCTTTCCCAGGGCACACCCGAGGAGCCGCGGTGTGGGTTCAGCCGCAAGGTGGTGGATGCACTCACGTCAGAAGGTATTTCCTTTGGCAGTTTTGACATTCTCACGGATGAAGCAGTGAGGCAGGGGCTGAAGGAGCTCTCCAATTGGCCCACGTACCCCCAGGTGTACCACAAGGGCGAGCTGATTGGTGGATGCGATATTGTGCTTGAAATGAAGGCTAATGGGGAGCTTAAAGCCGAGCTTGGAGGGTGAAGTTCACTGTACTGTGTAGCTAAATCATTTTCATATACCCGGTAGTACCAAGGTAGAGCTGATTGGCATCTGTTTTTGAACCAGGGTAAAAACAATGTGCCCATCTTTTGTGTCACTCTTAGTCCGATATGCCACTTTTTCCTCCAAGCTCCAACAGCAACAGATGCTACTACAGCCTGAAAATCATGCTCCAACAGCTTCATTTTTATCCTGCAGCAATGAATTGGCGCAGACGACTCTCAAGGTCAGGTCAAAAGTCAGCTGGTACGGCCAGTCCTACCATTATGCAAACACTCGTCAGAGACACGACAGCTAGAGTCCTGCGAACCAACGCTCACGTAAAGCACAATGCCTAACACAATCGTCCTAAATACGCTTAGCATGTGAGCGTTGCTTTCAAAAAAGTTAACTCCCATGACTGTACCCTCCAGCACAGTTGTCGATCGCATACGGATGCCATGGGTGGGGTAGGGTCTAGGGATGGATGGCAAGTTGGCAATGACCAATGCCGATCACTCATCGAGGTACGGTAGTGTAGGTGCCACTGCCAGCAGACTTGTGCTCCCATCCCATGAGTGCACCCTTTCATGGGCATGCCAAAACGGCCAATGCCATGCCCACACTCAGTCGTCCAGGTAGTAGTAGGTGCCGGCACTCTTCTGCTCGCGGTCCTTGACAGAATCCATCTTGTTGATGCGCGGCCGAAAGTTGGTGGGGTCGCGCCGGAACGTGATGTCCAGTTGCTGGGGGGGGGAGGGTGGTGGTGGTTGGGGGTGGGAGGAAACGATGGTTGTGAGGGGCACGGTAGCGAGAAGAGGTGAAAACGGGAGGGAGAAAGGGGTTCCATGAGTGCACCCTACAAGCGCACAGCTCCCTTGGGCATGCCGGAAGAGGTTCATGCCGCTGTTGAGCGACTTGAGGAGTGCAAGCCGTGCAATCCACGGACGGCTGCCCCTCGTAGACAATCACGCGGTCCGCCAGGTACGTGGCCATGATGAAGTCGTGCTCCACCACAAAGGGGGGTTCTCACTCACACAGCAAGCAACAAGGGGTCTCTCACCGAGAGGAAGAGGTTCATGCCGCTGTTGAGCGACTGGGGCGTGCGCGCCGTGCAGTCCACCGACGGCTGCCCCTCGTACACGATGACGCGGTCCGCCAGGTACGTGGCCATGATGAAGTCGTGCTCCACCACAAACGCCGTCTTCTTGGCGTGCAGGATGAAGCGCTTGATCACCTTGGCCGCCACAATGCGCTGCTCTGAATCCAAGTAGGCTGAGGGTTCATCAATCAGGTAGATGTCGGCAGGCTGGGAGGAAAGGGGGTGTGGGGGGTTGGAAGTGGAAGTGGAATGTTAAAGGGAGGGGAGGGATGAACGGCTTGATCACCTTGGCTGCCACGATGCGCTGCTCCGAATCCAGATAGGCCGAGGGCTCGTCTATGAGGTAGATGTCGGCAGGCTGGGAGGAGAGAGAAGAAGGAACGCATGTGCAGGATGAACGGCTTGATGACCTTGACCGTCACGATGCACTGCTCTTGAGTCGAGATAGGCCGAGGGTTCATCGATCAGATAGATGTCGGCAGGCTGGAGAAAGGAGAAAGTGGAAGAGGGGGAGAAAGGGAAAAAAGGGAAGGATGAACCGCTTGATGACCGTGGCTGCCACAATGCACTGCTCTTGAGTCGAGATAGGCCGATGGATCGTCAATGAGGTAGATGCCACCAAGGCAGAGGGAAATAGCGACGCACCTTCCCAAAAAGAGGGAAATAGCGACGCACCTTCCCAAGGCAGAGGGAAATAGCCACACGCTGCAACTCTCCTCCTGACAAATTCACCACCTCCTGGTCGAGCAGGGGGTCGATCTGCATGGGGCAACTTCTGAGCCGCCCCAGAACCGCCCCAAACCACCTTGAACCGCCGCAGTCTCCAAGAGAGAGTTGACCAACCCACCCACTCCTTCCTTACCTTTCCCAGACAAAGGGTAATAGCCACGCGCTGCAGCTCCCCACCCGACAAATTCACCACCTCCTGGTCCAGGAGCGGGTCGATCTGCATGGGGCGCAGCACGTCGGTGTTGAACTGCGGGTGGTGGAACGAGTCTCGGATCTTGGAGTGCAGCAGCGCGCGCACGCTGTGGGGGAACTTGGGGGAGATCTTCTGCGGCTTGTACGACACGTTGAACTCCGGGAGGTCCTCGGCCTCCTTGCCGGTCTCCTCGTCCGGGTCAGCCTTTAAGAGACCAGCCTGTAAGGGGTTGAGAAGGACACAGGAGAGCGGAAAGGAGAGGAACGAGAGGGTATGAGAGGGGGAACTTGCGGCTGATCTTCTGCGGCTTGTACGACACGTTGAACTCCGGGAGGTCCTCAGCTTCTTTCCCGGTCTCCTCGTCTGGATCTGCCTTCAAGAGGCCGGCCTGGAGGGGTTCAGAACGAGACAGGAGAGGAGAGGGGAGGAGGGAGGAGAGTAACGCAGAAAACTTGGGGCTGGGCTGGTCTTCTGCGGCCTGTACAACACACTGAAATCCGGGAGATCTTCGGCTTCCTTGCCAGTTGATTCGTCCGGGTCGGCCTTTAACAGACCAGCCTGCGTGATACAAGGGAGAAGGGAGACAAGGCACGGGGGATCGAAGTGGAAAGGGAAGAAAAAGGGACGGAGAATGAGAATGGGAAGGGAAACTTGGGGCTGGGCTGGTCTTCTGCGGCCTGTACGACGCGTTGAACTCGGGAAAACCTTGGGCCTCCTTGCCGGTTTCCTCATCTGGGTCCGGCCTTGAGAGAGCCGCCTGGAAGGGAGAGAGGAGGGATGGAAGATGGATCATGGAAGGGACAGGGAGGAGAGAGAGCCAAAGAGACGTGCAAGCTGGCGATATTGGGAGACGCGGAAAACGGGAAGGAAACGGGAATTTAGGAGCCAACGACTAGCCCAACCGGTATGCATATGACACAAGAGTCGGCCTATTAGCTCTTCGGAAGCATGTGGCATGGTGCGGGCACATGCAAGTTGGGCTACCGGCCTACCACCAGCCATGCACAGGTGAGAGAGTTGGCCTACCAGCATGCGGATAAAGGTGGTTTCGCCGGTGCCATTCTCCCCCAGCATCACCACGATCTGCGAGTCTGTGCCTTGCGTCCACTGCCATCCCTACCTATGGTGCACACATGTGCCTACCAGCATGCGCACCCATGAGAGACAGCTTCCCTACCAGCATGCGGATAAAGGTGGTCTTGCCGGTGCCGTTCTCCCCCAGCATCACCACGATCTGTGAGTCCGTGAAGTCACCAGGTTCCACCGTCAGCTTGAATCCGCCCTGCTTCTTGACCATGCGCGGGTACTTGTAGCGCGTGTACGTCTTGGCCTCTTCAGGGTTATCGACTGGGGTTTCAGCAACCTGAGATGGAATGGAGAGGGGGGGAGGGGAAGGAGGGGCTTGAACCCGCCCTGCTTCTTGACCATGCGCGGGTACTTGTAGCGCGTGTACGTCTTGGCTTCTTCAGGATTATCCACCGGGGTTTCAGCCACCTGATGGGAGCAATGATGGGCTGAGATGGGTCAGAAATAAGGGTAATTTAGCTGCAAAGCTTGAACCCGCCCTGCTTCTTGATCATGCGCAGGTACTTGTACCGCGTGTACGTCTTGGCCTCTTCAGGATTATCCACCGGGGTTTCAGCCACCTGAGATGGAATGAAGGGGGGTGAAAGAATGGAGTGAGGGAGGGGAAGGAGGAGGTTGAACCCGCCGTGCTTCTTGATCATGCCCAAATACCTGTACCGAACCGACTGTACGTCTTGGCCTCCCTCCTCAGGATTATCCACCGGGGTTTTCGTCCCCTGATGAGAGGGGGAAAGGAGAAGAGGCACGGGCGGAGGAGAGGGAGTGGAGGGGAGGAAAGGAGTGCTTTGAGGAACCTGAGACAGCACACAGAGAGCTTCAACACGCCCTGCTTCTTGATCATGCGTGGGTACTTGTACCAAGTATATGTCTTGGCCTCGTCCGTTTCTTCCAACTCTGAAAATGAATGAGCTTTTCGTCTCAAAAATGTGGGTCTGACTTCTGAGTCGACTTTTGTGTCTTAAGTCGGCTCAAAAGATGAAAAAAAAAGATGCTCATGCCCTATCTAACGAAGTTGGAAACTGAGGCAAGGAAGAAACATCCATTCACAAAGAGGAGCAACAGACAAGCAGACCCACACGGAAGGTGAGCGACTCGTCTTGAAAACGCAGGTTTCCAGCTGGTATGAAGCCGGCAAGAAAGATGTTCATTCCCTCGAGCACAGAGAAACACAAAATTCCCCTCTTTCAAGTCAACACCTAAAGCAGACTCACCCTGAAGGTGAGCGGCTCGTCTCGGAAGCGCAGGTTCTCGGTCAGAACAAAGCCGGCAAGGAAGATGTTGATGCCCCCTCGCACTGCTGATTGAATTCTAAAGGTGTGCCTGCAATATGAAAATTTTGATGTCCCGACGGACACGGTGACACCCTCACGGCAGACTCACCCTGAATGTGAGCGACTCGTCTCGGAAGCGCAGGTTCTCGGTTGGCACGAAGCCAGCCAGGAAGATGTTGATGCCCTCTCGCACGGAGAAGGGCAGCGTGACCACCCCGTAGGCACCGGGCTTGCCGTAGAGGCAGCAGATGAAGTCCGAGAGATAGTCGAGCACACTGAGATCGTGCTCCACCACAATGACGTATCTGGGGGGGGATGGGGATGATGGAATGGGGAGTGAGTGGGCAGGGCAGTGGGTGCATGGGGTGATAGCGCAGAAAAACAGTAACCGGGTGGCAGCAACAGTAACCGGGCGCGGCAGCAACAGTAACCGGGTGGCAGCAACAGTAACCGGGTGGCAGCAACAGTAACCGGGCGCGGCAGCAACAGTGTCTGGGCGGCAGCAACAGTGTCTGGGCGGCAGCAACAGTGTCTGGGCGGCAGCAACAGTGTCTGGGCGGCAGCAACAGTGTCTGGGCGGCAGCAACAGTGTCTGGGCGGCAGCAACAGTGTCTGGGCGGCAGCAACAGTGTCTGGGCGGCAGCAACAGTGTCTGGGCGGCAGCAACAGTGTCTGGGCGGCAACAACAGTGTCTGGGCGGCAACAACAGTGTCTGGGCGGCACCAATAGTGTCTGGGCGGCACCAACAGTGTCTGGGCGGCAGCAACAGTGTCTGGGCGGCAGCAACAGTGTCTGGATGGCAGCAACAGTGTCTGGATGGCAGCAACAGTACCTGGGCGGCAGCAACAGTACCTGGGCGGCAGCAACAGTACCTGGGCGGCAGCAACAGTACCTGGGCGGCAGCAACAGTGTATGGACGGAATCAACAGTGTCTGGGGAGCATCAACAGCATCTGGGCGGTAGCAACAGTGTCTGGGCGGCAGCAACAGTAAGGGGGCGGCTGGAACAGTAACCGGGCGGCAGGCTGCTGGAACAGGGGCCAGGCTGAAACCCCGTGGGCCCGAGCTCCCCACCCCAGGCCCGGCCAAACCAGACCAGGCCAGGGCATGGCTATATAGTAGGCATGCCCATACATACAAGCACACATATCAAGTCCTACAATCCTAGCTACACAGACAGATTCTACCACTGAAATTAGTTAAGCAGTTATCATGCGTGCTAGAACATCATAAGCGTAATAAATGAAGGCATGGCAAGGCTATAGGTTTGTGGCATGAGCAGGGTGTGGTTTGAACGCACGTGCAGAGAGTGAAAGCATGTGGAGGAGGGACGGCAAGGGAGGGGGGGGGGGGGAGAGATGCCACGAGTGAGGAGTGGCAGCTTCTCACCTGGCTGGCTGTTTTGGGCAATGAGTGAGTGGGGGGAGGGAGCATAGCAAGTGAGTGCGGGGAGCATGGCGAGCAAGCGGGGATGGCAGAGGGGTGAACAGAGGGAACAGAGGGAACAAAAGGTGGGTGAACAGTGGGGAAAAAACCGTGGTGTGAACAACGGGGGACGGAGAAACAGTGGTGTGAACATTTCGGGACGGGGAAACAATGGCGTGAACAGTGGGGGACGGGGAAACAATGGCATGAACAGTGGGGGACGGGGAAACGGTGGTGTGAAAAGTGGGTGAACAGTAAAGGTGAGTGCAGGGGAGCAGAGGTGAGTGCAGGGGAGCAGAGGTGAGTGCAGGGGAGCAGAGGTGAGTGCAGGGGAGCAGAGGTGAGCGCAGGGGAGCAGAGGTGAGCGCAGGGGAGCAGAGGTGAGCGCAGGGGAGCAGAGGTGAGCGCAGGGGAGCAGAGGTGAGCGCAGGGGAGCAGAGGTGACCGCAGGGGAGCAGAGGTGAGCGCAGGGGAGCAGAGATGAGTGCAGGGGAGCAGAGGTGAGCGCAGGGGAGCAGAGGTGAGCGCAGGGGAGCAGAGGTGAGCGCAGGGGAGCAGAGGTGAGCGCAGGGGAGCAGAGGTGAGCGCAGGGGAGCAGAGGTGAGCGCAGGGGAGCAGAGGTGAGCGCAGGGGAGCAGAGATGAGTGCTGGGGAGCAGTGGGGAAAGGTGAATAAAGGGGAGCGGTGGTGGGGGAAGGTGAAGAGTGGTGATAAGTGGGGGGGGATGGTGAGTGTGGGGAGCAGAGGTGGTGAGTGTGGAGGCAATCTCCCTCGCCTCCCTCCCTCTCACCACGCAACGCAACGCAAGCAACGTACCTTGCGCACTGCAACGCAACGCAAGCAACGTACCTTGCGCACTGCAACGCAACGCAAGCAGCGTACCTTGCGCACTGCACTGGCCGAGCCTCATCCAGACCAGAGCCGAGCCGAACCTCGTCCGACGTCGAGGCCAAGTCCGGCAGACCTCAGCCACCTCTGGGGTGGGAGGGTGGAGGGTGAGAGAGGCGGTGATTGGGGGGGAAGAGGAGGCGAGGGGGGATTAAGGAGGTCAGGGGGGGAGGGCATAACGAGTGCACATCTCAAGCGCGTTTACGAGGTGAGTACGTACGGGGGACAGGGGAGGGTGAGAAGAGGGGTGGACAGGAGGTGAGAAGAGAGGACGAGAGGAGGTGAGTACGGGGGACGGACGAGGCGAGGAGAGGGCAGTACAGGAGGTAACGACGCCTCGTTAAACAGTGGGGGGGGGGGGGGGGGGGGGATGCCACGAGTGAGGAGTGGCAGCTTCTCACCTGGCTGGATGTTTCGGGCAATGAGTGAGTGGGGGGAGGGGAGGGAGCATAGCAAGTGAGTGCGGGGAGCATGGCGAGCAAGCGGGGATGGCAGAGGGGTGAACAGAGGGAACAGAGGGAACAAAAGGTGGGTGGACAGTGGGGAAAAAACCGTGGTGTGAACAACGGGGGACGGAGAAACAGTGGTGTGAACATTTGGGGACGGGGAAACAATGGCGTGAACAGTGGGGGACGGGGAAACAATGGCGTGAACAGTGGGGGACGGGGAAACGGTGGTGTGAAAAAGTGGGTGAACAGTAAAGGTGAGTGCAGGGGAGCAGAGGTGAGTGCAGGGGAGCAGAGGTGAGTGCAGGGGAGCAGAGGTGAGTGCAGGGGAGCAGAGGTGAGCGCAGGGGAGCAGAGGTGAGCGCAGGGGAGCAGAGGTGAGCGCAGGGGAGCAGAGGTGAGCGCAGGGGAGCAGAGGTGAGCGCAGGGGAGCAGAGGTGAGCGCAGGGGAGCAGAGATGAGTGCTGGGGAGCAGTGGGGAAAGGTGAATAAAGGGGAGCGGTGGTGGGGGAAGGTGAAGAGTGGTGATAAGTGGGGGGGGATGGTGAGTGTGGGGAGCAGAGGTGGTGAGTGTGGAGGCAATCTCCCTCGCCTCCCTCCCTCTCACCACGCAACGCAACGCAAGCAACGTACCTTGCGCACTGCAACGCAACGCAAGCAACGTACCTTGCGCACTGCACTGGCCGAGCCTCATCCAGACCAGAGCCGAGCCGAACCTCGTCCGACGTCGAGGCCAAGTCCGGCAGACCTCAGCCACCTCTGGGGTGGGAGGGTGGAGGGTGAGAGAGGCGGTGATTGGGGGGGGGAAGAGGAGGCGAGGGGGGATTAAGGAGGTCAGGGGGGGAGGGCATAACGAGGGCACAAAACAAGCGCGTTTAGGAGGTGAGTACGGGGGACAGGGGAGGTGAGAAGAGAGGACGAGAGGAGATGAGTACGGGGGGACGGACGAGGTGAGGAGAGGGGAGTACAGGAGGTGATGACGCCTCGTCATGGTCTCACCTCGTGCCTCTCTCCTCGCCGCGCCGTTGCCCACCTGCCCCGCCACGTGGCCATCCGTGATTGGCTGAGAGGCGGGCGGCGGCGCCACGGTCATACGTTCTTCGTACAACTGGAGGGGGGGGATGGGGAAGAGGGGCACGGAGCTTGGGGGGGCAACTGGAGGGGGGTTCCACCAGCGCGCGACGCGCCGTTCTCCGCAGGGTTAAGGTTGACCGCGGGAAACGGCGGGAAACCGGCAGAAAAGGGCGGGAATCAGGAAAGAAGCAACACGCCGCGCCTGCAGCGCGGAACGCGCACATTGCGCCACATGCAGCGCGGAACGAGCACATTGCGCCGCCTGCAGCGCGGAACGCGCACATCGCCCCGCCTGCAGCGCGGAACGTGCACATTGCGCCGCCTGCAGCGCGGAACGAGCACATCGCGCCGCCTGCAGCGCGGAACGAGCATATCGCCCCGCCTGCAGCGCGGAACAAGCACATTGCCCCGCCTGCAGCGCGGAACAAGCACATCTCCCCGCCTGCAGCGCGGAACGCGCACATCGCCCCGCCTGCAGCACGGAACGAGCACATCGCCCCGCCTGCAGCGCGGAACGCGCACATCGCCCCGCCTGCAGCGCGGAACGCGCACATCGCCCCGCCTGCAGCGCGGAACGCGCACATCGCCCCGCCTGCAGCGCGGAACGCGCACATTGCGCCGCCTGCAGCGCGGAACGCGCACATCGCCCCGCCTGCAGCGCGGAACGAGCACATTGCGCCGCCTGCAGCGCGGAACGAGCAGGAAACGGAGGGGATCAAGTTGACCGAGGAAGACGGCGGGAAACGGCGGGAAGGAAAACCATGGGAAACCATGGGCAAGAGCGGGAAGCGGCGGGAAAAGGCTGGAAAAGAAGGGAATCAGCGCGGAAAGGGCACTAAGCCGTGCATGGGGCGCGGAGAAAAGGCAACTCGCCACGCCTGCAGCGAGGAAATGCACTTCGCCGTGCCTGCAGCGCTGAAAAAAGCAACTCGCCGCGCCTGCAGCGCGGAAGACGCACTTGGCCACGCCTCTCAGCTGGCAGTGCCGAGCCTCTCACCAGGCAGTGCCGAGCCTCTCATGGCGCGCGATCCGCCGCCTACCACGTGGCGCGCGATCCGCCGCCTGGTGATGCCGCTGCCTGGTGGGAGAGGTAGGTAAGTGGGAGAGGTAAGTGCTGATCTGATAGGAACATTTGCCGTCAAATATAAAACAAAGAAAGAAGAACAACATAACAGAAATGATAGGACGAGCAAAGCTGAACACAAAAGGAGGCAGTGAAGCAGGAAGCACCCGCTACGAGTTAAGAAGTCCAAGGCGCCTGGTGAGAGTGTTGAGCGGGAAACGGCGGGAAAAGGCAGGAGGCAGAACATGGAGAGGAGAGGAAGGGCCGGGGAAGAGGGAAACTTTAGCTAAAAATATAATCTCACCGTGTTAATATAAATATAAATCGCATCTAAACAACCGGAGCATCTGCTGGAACGCGGAATAACTCTCACGGGGGCCTAAGCTGCTGCGCCCACCATTCCGTCAGCGGCGTGACATCGGCCATCTGCTGCCGCGGCGCGCCATTCCGCCATCTGCTGCGCGCGCCAATTCGCCTGCTGCTGCGCGCGCCATTCTCCCTGCTGCTGAACGATTTATGACTAAGAGAAACAAAAATAAAAATGCTAAGAGAATGCTACTAAGAGCATTTAGAGGAATGACTATAGAACGCTACTACTAGTGAAACCGTCCAGTGAGAGCGACGCTGGGAGAAGAAGAGCAGTCGAGAGAAAGAGGAGGAGGTTAACAATGGGAGAGTTGAAGCGTTGAAAAACATCTGCTGCTGCGGTGAGAGAAGAAACGCGTCTTTGCACTACAGGACAATATCACGACCGTTCGACGGTGAGGTCCAACCGAGCCACCTCGCGCGCACGCGCTTTCGCTCCGCGCAGCGACCCGTGTGACATGACATCGCATGCTGCAGATTTAACGGACATCTAACGCTATATCTGCAAATGAGAAAAAGCGCGGGGCGAATAAACGAAAGCACCGCGCAGGGAGCAGCGCGAGGCGCGCATGACGACGACAGTTTAACGGGCGCGAAGCGTGCAAGGCGCGCGAACAAACACTGGACTGAGACCTTACTAATGCGAATGACACGGCAGCGGATTAGGTGGTTGTGAGCTAACTGAGAAGGGCGAGGCGAGGAATGCGAGAGAATCGAGTTTGGTGCGGAGAGGAGAGGTGGATGAGATTGAAACCCACCCTCCCACAAAATGTTTTGTAACAAGGAGGGCAGAGAGAAACAAAAGGGAAAGCTAACTCCACACCCTAATCTGAAAATGGAAGAGAGTCAACTGAGTGGATCCGATTTACACATACAAATATACGGGCGGAATAAAAAAACGAAAAAAAAAAATGTTGTAAGACGATGCGCGTCACATTCGCCACTCATAGCACAAACGGATGTTCCTATCTGATTGTTACTGTGGTTTGAGGCTCGAGTCGACTTGCAGCCTCCGCAGTTGTGCAGCTACACCTCCAGAGTACTAAGTAATATCTCCTACATGAACATGTTCGCACTTATCAAGTACATTTGAAAAAACAAAAAGGCATTGGCTCATAATAAGGAAATGTTTACAAGATAAGGTTTATAACATATGCACATGGGCTAATTAAATGGATATTATAGGGCCGTATTATTTTCTTTCCTCGTTGAAGCGAAGCGTCTCCATATGTCGTTATAAAACGAACTAACGTCACAGGCAACAAAAAAGGTGCGCGTAATTACTTCAAATATAAGGACGACGATGACAAGTACGGGAACAACAACGAGGACGCGGAGGAGGAGGAGGAGGAGGAGGAGGAGGAGGAGGAGGAGGAGGAGGAGGAGGAGGAGGAGGAGGAGGAGGAGGAGGAGGAGGAGGAGGAGGAGGAGGAGGAGGAGGAGGAGGAGGATGCGGAGGAGGAGGAGCAGGAGCAGGAGCGGGAGTAGGTGCAGGAGGAGGAGCAGGAGGAGGGGAGGAGGAGGAAACATCAGTGGGAGTACTAGCGGCAAACGGCAGCAGTGCGCAATAGCCTTACCATCAAGCAGCACTAGGAAACGCTAGCGGCGAACAGTAGCTGTGCGCAACAGCCTCACCATTGAGCAGCAACATAAAATGTTCAGCAGAAGTATGAAACACCACCACGAGCACAAACAACGAACGGTAGTAGTGAGCATCCGCCTCACCATCGAGCAGCAATGGAAAATGTTCAATAGCAGTAGGAAACAACAAGAGTACCACAAGCTTGAACGGTAGTTTTGAGAATCTGGCTTGCAATTGAGCAGCAACAGGAAATGTTCAACAGCAGTAGGAAAAAACAGCACGAGCAAAAGAAGGGAACGATAGTAGTGAGCATCCGCCTCACCATCGAGCAGCAGCTGAAAATGCAGTAGTAGTGAGCATTCGCCTCACCATCGAGTAGCATCACCATCGAGCAGCAACAGAACAGGGGTGACAACGACCAGGAGGGCGACGACAACGAGGCGGAGGAGGACAAGGAGGAGGAGGAGGAGGAGGAGGAGGAGGAGGAGGAGGAGGAGGAGGAGGAGGAGGAGGAGGAGGAGGAGGAGGAGGAGGAGGAGGAAGACGACGAGGACCAGGACGAAGAGCAGGAGCAGGAGCAGGGGCAGGAGGAGGAGGAGGAGGAGGAGGAGGAGGAGGAGGAGGAGGAGGAGGAGGAGGAGGAGGAGGAGGAGGAGGAGGAGGAGGAGGACAAGGAGCAGGAGGAGGAGGAGGAGGAGGAGGAGGAGGAGGAGGAGGAGGAGGAGGAGGAGGAGGAGGAGGAGGAGGAGGACAAGGAGGAGGACGAGGAGGAGGAGGAGGGCGACGAGAAAGAAGACGACAACGATGAGGTGGAGGAAGACGAGGAGGAGGAGGAGAACGAGGAGGAGGAGGAAGACGAGGAGGAGGAGGAGGAGGAGGAGGAGGAGGAGGAGGAGGAGGAGGAGGAGGAGGAGGAGGAGGAGGAGGAGGAGGAGGAGGAGGAGGAGGAGGAGGAGAACGAGGAGGACGAGGAGGAGGAGGAGAAGGAGGAGTAGGAGGAGGAAGACGAGAAGGAGGAGGAGGAAGAGGAGGAGGAGGAGGAGGAGGAGGAGGAGGAGGAGGAGGAGGAGGAGGAGGAGGAGGAGGAGGAGGAGGAGGAGGAGGAGGAGGAGGAAACACCAGTATGAGCACAAACAGCAAACAGTTGTACTTAGCATCCGCCTCACAATCGAGCAGCAACAAAAAATACTCAGCAGCAGTATGAAACACCATCACGAGCACAAGCAGCAAACGGTAGTAGTGAGCATCCGCCTCACCATCAAGCAACAACAGATAATATCCAGCAGCAGTAGGAAACACCAGCACGAGCACAAGCAGCGAACTGTAGTAGTGAGAAACCACCTCACCATCGAGCAGCAACTGAAGATGTTCAGCAGCCGTAGGAAACACCAGCACGAGCACAAGGAGCGAAAGGTAGTAGTCAGCATCCGCCTTACCATCGAGAAGCAACGGAAAATGTTCAGCAGCAGTAGAAAACACCAGCACGAACACAAGCAGCGAACGATAGTAGTGAGCATCCGCCTCACCATCGAGCACCAGCTGAAAATGCAGTAGTAGTGAGCATTCGCCTCACCATCGAGCAGCAACGGAAAATGCTAAACAGCACTAGGAAACACCAGCACGAGCAGAAGTAGCGAACGGCAGTAGTGAGCATTCGCCTCACCATCGAGCAGCAACGGAAAATGCTCAGCAGCACTAGGATACACCAGCACGAGCACAAGGAGCGAACGGCAACAGTGAGCATTCGCCTCACCATCGAGCAGCAATATAAAATGTTCAGCAGTGATAAGAAGCAACCGGACCAGCACAAGCAGCGAATGGTAGTAGTGAGCATCTGCCTCGCCATCGAGCAGCAACAGAACAGGTGTGACAAGGATGGTGAAGGTGACAACGACGAGGAGGAAGAGGGCAGGGAGGAGGAAGACGACGACGAGGAGGACCAGGACGAGGAGCTGGAGCAGGAGCAGGAGCAGGAGCAGGAGGAGAAGGAGGAAGAGGAGGAGGAAGAGGAGGAGGAGGAGGAGGAGGAGGAGGAGGAGGAGGAGGAGGAGGAGGAGGAGGAGGAAAAGGAGGAGGAGGAGGAGGAGGAGGAAGAGGAGGAGGAGGACGAGGATGAGGAGGAAGACGAGGAGGAGGAGGAGGAGGAGTAGGAGTAGGAGGAGAAGGAGGAGGAGGAGGAGGAGGAGGAGGAGGAGGAGGAGGAGGAGGAGGAGGAGGAGGAGGAGGAGGAGGAGGAGGAGGAGGAGGAGGAGGAGGGCGACGAGAAAGAAGTCGACGACGATGAGGTGGAGGAAGACGAGGAGGAGGAGGGGAACGAGGAGTAGGAGGAGGAAGACGAGAAGGAGGAGGAGGAAGAGGAGGAGGAGGAGGAGGAGGAGGAGGAGGAGGAGGAGGAGGAGGAGGAGGAGAAGGAGGAGGAGGAGGAGGAGGAGGAGGAAACACCAGTATGAGCACAAACAGCAAACACTTGTACTTAGCATCCGCCTCACAATCGAGCAGCAACAGAAAATACTCAGCAGCAGTATGAAACACCAGCACGAGCACAAGCAGCGAACTGTAGTAGTGAGAAACCACCTCACCATCGAGCAGCAACTGAAGATGTTCAGCAGCCGTAGGAAACACCAGCACGAGCACAAGCAGCGAAAGGTAGTAGTCAGCATCCGCCTCACCATCGAGAAGCAACGGAAAATGTTCAGCAGCAGTAGAAAACACCAGCACGAAAACAAGCAGCGAACGATAGTAGTGAGCATCCGCCTCACCATCGAGCAGCAACTGAAAATGCAGTAGTAGTGAGCATTCGCCTCACCATCGAGCAGCAACGGAAAATGCTAAACAGCACTAGGAAACACCAGCACGAGCAGAAGTAGCGAAGGGCAGTAGTGAGCATTCGCCTCACCATCGAGCAGCAACGGAAAATGCTCAGCAGCACTAGGATACACCAGCACGAGCACAAGGAGCGAACGGCAACAGTGAGCATTCGCCTCACCATCGAGCAGCAATATAAAATGTTCACCATCGATAAGAAGCAACCAGACCAGCACAAGCAGCGAATGGTAGTAGTGAGCATCTGCCTCGCCATCGAGCAGCAACAGAACAGGTGTGACAAGGACGGGGAAGGCGACGACGACGAGGAGGAAGAGGGCAGGGAGGAGGAAGACGACGACGAGGAGGACCAGGACGAGGAGCTGGAGCAGGAGCAGGAGCAGGAGGAGAAGGAGGAAGAGGAGGAGGAAGAGGAGGAGGAGGAGGAGGAGGAGGAGGAGGAGGAGGAGGAGGAGGAGGAGGAGGAGGAGGAAAAGGAGGAGGAGGAGGAGGAGGAAGAGGAGGAGGAGGACGAGGATGAGGAGGAAGACGAGGAGGAGGAGGAGGAGGAGGAGGAGTAGGAGTAGGAGGAGAAGGAGGAGGAGGAGGAGGAGGAGGAGGAGGAGGAGGAGGAGGAGGAGGAGGAGGAGGAGGAGGAGGAGGAGGACCACGACGACGACGACGACCATGACGACAACGACGAGGAGGAGAAGGACGAGGAGGACGAGGAGGATGAGGAGGAGGAGGAGGAGGAGGAGGAGGAGGAGGAGGAGGAGGAGGAGGAGGAGGAGGAGGAGGAGGAGGAGGAGGAGGAAACACCAGCATGAGCACAAGCAGCAAATAGTAGTACTGAGCATCCGCCTCACAATCGAGAAGCAACAGAAAACACTCAGCAACAGTAGGAAACACCAGTACAAGCACAAGCAGCGAACGGTAGTAGTGAGTAGTCGCTTCACCATCGAGGAGCAACAGGAAATACTTAGTAGCAGTAGGCAACACTAGCACGAGCACAAGCAGCGGACGGTAGTAGTGAACATCCGCCTCACCATCAAGCAGCAACAGAAAGTATTCAGCAGCAGTAGGAAACACCAGCACGAGCACAAGCAGTGAACAGTAGTAGTGTGCATTCGCCTCACCATCGAGCAACAATATAAAATATCCAGCAGTAGTGGAAACACCATCACGAGCACAAGCAGCAAACGGTAGTAGTGAGCATCCGCCTCACCATCAAGCAACAACAGATAATATCCAGCAGCAGTAGGAAACACCAGCACGAGCACAAGCAGCGAACTGTAATAGTGAGAATCCGCCTCACCATCGAGCAGCAACTGAAGATGTTCAGCAGCCGTAGGAAACACCAGCACGAGCACAAGCAGCGAAAGGTAGTAGTCAGCATCCGCCTCACCATCGAGAAGCAACGGAAAATGTTCAGCAGCAGTAGAAAACACCAGCACGAACACAAGCAGCGAAAGATAGTAGTGAGCATCCGCCTAACCATCGAGCAGCAGCTGAAAATGCAGTAGTAGTGAGCATTCGCCTCACCATCGAGCAGCAACGGAAAATGCTAAATAGCACTAGGAAACACCAGCACGAGCAGAAGTAGCGAACGGCAGTAGTGAGCATTCGCCTCACCATCGAGCAGCAACGGAAAATGCTCAGCAGCACTAGGATACACCAGCACGAGCACAAGGAGCGAACGGTAGCAGTGAGTATTCGCCTCACCATCGAGCAGCAATATAAAATGTTCAGCAGCGATAAGAAGCAACCGGACCAGCACAAGCAGCGAATGGTAGTAGTGAGCATCTGCCTCGCCATCGAGCAGCAACAGAACAGGTGTGACAAGGACGGGGAAGGCGACGACGACGAGGAGGAGGAGGGCAGGGAGGAGGAAGACGACGACGACGAGGACCAGGACGAGGAGCAGGAGCAGGAGCAGGAGCAGGAGCAGGAGCAGGAGGAGAAGGAGGAAGAGGAGGAGGAAGAGGAGGAGGAGGAGGAGGAGGAGGAGGAGGAGGAGGAGGAGGAGGAGGAGGAGGAGGAGGAGGAGGAGGAGGAAAAGGATGAGGAGGAGGAGGAAGAGGAGGAGGAGGAGAGGACGAGGATGAGGAGGAAGACGAGGAGGAGGAGGAGGAGGAGGAGGAGGAGGAGGAGGAGGAGGAGGAGGAGGAGGAGGAGGAGGAGGAGGAGGAGGAGGAGGACCATGACGACGACGAGGAGGAGAAAGACGAGGAGGAAGAGGAGAGGAGAGGAGGAGGAGGAGGAGGAGGAGGAGGAGGAGGAGGAGGAGGAGGAGGAGGAGGAGGAGGAGGAGGAGGAAGAGGAGGAGGAGGAGGAGGAGGAGGAAAAGGAGGAGGAGGAGGAGGAGGAGGAACTGTACTGTATGGTTTGTGCACTCGCTCAGTTTTTGTTGGCAGAGTGGTTCGGAGCGGCAGTGCGTGGTGCTGGGCCGTTGTGTGTGGTCATTGGTGGTGTTGAGTGCCCGTGAGTGGTGACGAGCGGTGACGAGTGGTGATGAACGGTGTAGTCTGTCTACGGTGTGACGTTGATGTCCGTCTCCCGCCTCTCGACTACTGCAAACAAGGATGCCTTGAGCATCATGGAAACGGTTGTGAGGACTGTACAACACTGGTGGTTGTGCTTGTCTAGTGATTCTTAACCATTTGTGTCATCCCAACGATCAAGATAGGTTCAACGTGTTTCATTTCTTCGCATAGCATCCTCTTGTATCACTTTACCGTACATTGTGCAAAAATTCTGGAGACAAAGCATTCTGAACTTCAGCAGCAGCACAAACAATGACATCGGCAGCAACAGCAGGGCAGCAGTAGCAAGCAGCAACAGCAGAGCAGCAGCAAGCAGTGACGGCAGCAGCAGTAGCAAGCAGTGACGGCAGCAGCAGGAGCAAGCAAGCATTGACAGCAGCAGCAGGAGCAAGCGAGTAGTGACAGCAGCAGCAGGAGCAAGCAAGCAGTGACTGCAGCAGCAGGAGTAAGCAAGCAGTGACGGCAGCAGCAGGAGTAAGCAAGCAGTGACGGCAGCAGCAGGAGTAAGCAAGCAGTGACGGCAGCAGCAGGAGCAAGCAAGCAGTGACGGCAGCAGCAGGAGTAAGCAAGCAGTGACGGCAGCAGCAGGAGCAAGCGAGTAGTGACAGCAGCAGCAGGAGCAAGCAAGCAGTGACTGCAGCAGCAGGAGTAAGCAAGCAGTGACGGCAGCAGCAGGAGTAAGCAAGCAGTGACGGCAGCAGCAGGAGTAAGCAAGCAGTGTCGGCAGCAGCAGTAGCAAGCAAGCAGTGACGGCAGTAGCAGGAGCAAGCTAGCAGGGTTTAAAGGTGTATAGCGACTGGCCGACTTTCCCGCAGTTGTATTGCAAGGGGGAGCTGGTTGGGGGGTGTGATATTGTGCTGCAGATGCACGAGAGTGGGGAGTTGAAAGAGGTGTTTGCAGAGAAAGGGGTGCTGGGAGGGGCGGGGAAGGGAGATGCACCAGGAGCAGTGACGGCAGCAGCAGCAGCGGCGGATGGGCAGGTTGATGGGGCGAAGGGGTTGCAAGAGCGGCTGAAGGCACTCCTCTCGTCTTCGCCTACCATGCTGTTCATGAAGGTATGTTGGAGTAGAGTGGGTTGGGGCGTATGTGATAATCTGTATCGTCCTGCCTTAGCTAATAAAGATGATTGAAGGCACTCGTCTCGTCTTCGCCTTCCTCTCATCCCTTCCTCTCATCCCTTCCTCTCATCCCTTCCTCTCATCCCTTCCTCTCATCCCTTCCTCTCATCCCTTCCTCTCATCCCGTCCTCTCTGCTGCGTTACCTCTCAGGGAACACCGGAGGAGCCGCGGTGTGGGTTCAGCCGCAAGGTGGTGGATGCAGTCCAGTCAGACATGGACTCATCGCATGTTTCCTTCCTTCTTCCCCATGGCTTGTCCTCACGGCCTTGCCTTGCTTTCCCAGGGCACACCAGAGGAGCCGCGGTGTGGGTTCAGCCGCAAGGTGGTGGATGCACTCACGTCAGAAGGTATTTCCTTTGGCAGTTTTGACATTCTCACGGACGAGGCAGTGCGGCAGGGGCTGAACACATGCCTTTACACCCCCCCAACCCCCCTTCCCCTGCCTTCCTGTGCTATGTACCCATGACCATCCCCATCCCTTGTTATTCAGGGAACACCGCAGGAGCCCCGGTGTGGGTTCAGCCGCAAGGTGGTGGATGCAGTCTGGTCAGACATGGACTCATCGCATGTTTCCCCCCCTCTTCCCCCCTTCTTCCCCCCCTCTTCCCCCCTTCTTCCCCCCCTCTTCCCCCCCTCTTCCCCATGGCTTGTCCTCACGGCCTTGCCTTGCTTTCCCAGGGCACACCTGAGGAGCCGCGGTGTGGGTTCAGCCGCAAGGTGGTGGATGCACTTACGTCAGAAGGCATTTCCTTTGGCAGTTTTGACATTCTCACGGATGAAGCAGTGAGGCAGGGGCTGAAGGAGCTCTCCAATTGGCCCACGTACCCCCAGGTGTACCACAAGGGCGAGCTGATTGGTGGATGCGATATTGTGCTTGAAATGAAGGCTAATGGGGAGCTTAAAGCCGAGCTTGGAGGGTGAAGTTCACTGTACTGTGTAGCTAAATCATTTTCATATACCCGGTAGCACCAAGGTAGAGCTGATTGGCATCTGTTTTATAACCAAACAATGTGCCCATCTTTTGTGTCACTCGCAGTCCGATATGCCACTTTTTCCTCCAAGCTCCAACAGCAACAGATGCTACTACAGCCTGAAAATCATGCTCCAACAACTTCATTTGTTATCCTGCAGCAATGAATTGGCGCAGACGACTCTCAAGGTCAGGTCAAAAGTCAGCTGGTACGGCCAGTCCTACCATTATGCAAACACTCGTCAGAGACACGACAGCTAGAGTCCTGCGAACCAACGCTCACGTAAAGCACAATGCCTAACACAATCGTCCTAAATACGCTTAGCATGTGAGCGTTGCTTTCAAAAAGTTAACTCCCATGACTGTACCCTCCAGCACAGTTGTCGATCGCATACGGATGCCATGGGTGGGGTAGGGTCTAGGGATGGATGGCAAGTTGGCAATGGCCAATGCCGATCACTCATCGAGGTACGGTAGTGTAGGTGCCACTGCTAGCAGACTTGTGCTCCCATCCCATGAGTGCACCCTTTCATGGGCATGCCAAAACGGCCAATGCCATGCCCGCACTCAGTCGTCCAGGTAGTAGTAGGTGCCGGCATTCTTCTGCTCGCGGTCCTTGACAGAATCCATCTTGTTGATGCGCGGCCGAAAGTTGGTGGGGTCGCGCCGGAACGTGATGTCCAGTTGCTGGGGGGGGGAGGGTGGTGGTGGTTGGGGGTGGGAGGAAACGATGGTTGTGAGGGGCACGGTAGCGAGAAGAGGTGAAAACGGGAGGGAGAAAGGGGTTCCATGAGTGCACCCTACAAGCGCACAGCTCCCTTGGGCATGCCGGAAGAGGTTCATGCCGCTGTTGAGCGACTTGAGGAGTGCAAGCCGTGCAATCCACGGACGGCTGCCCCTCGTAGACAATCACGCGGTCCGCCAGGTACGTGGCCATGATGAAGTCGTGCTCCACCACAAAGGGGGGTTCTCACTCACACAGCAAGCAACAAGGGGTCTCTCACCGAGAGGAAGAGGTTCATGCCGCTGTTGAGCGACTGGGGCGTGCGCGCCGTGCAGTCCACCGACGGCTGCCCCTCGTACACGATGACGCGGTCCGCCAGGTACGTGGCCATGATGAAGTCGTGCTCCACCACAAACGCCGTCTTCTTGGCGTGCAGGATGAAGCGCTTGATCACCTTGGCCGCCACAATGCGCTGCTCTGAATCCAAGTAGGCTGAGGGTTCATCAATCAGGTAGACGTCGGCAGGCTGGGAGGAAAGGGGGTGTGGGGGGTTGGAAGTGGAAGTGGAATGTTAAAGGGAGGGGAGGGATGAACGGCTTGATCACCTTGGCTGCCACGATGCGCTGCTCCGAATCCAGATAGGCCGAGGGCTCGTCTATGAGGTAGATGTCGGCAGGCTGGGAGGAGAGAGAAGAAGGAACGCATGTGCAGGATGAACGGCTTGATGACCTTGACCGTCACGATGCGCTGCTCTTGAGTCGAGATAGGCCGAGGGTTCATCGATCAGATAGATGTCGGCAGGCTGGAGAAAGGAGAAAGTGGAAGAGGGGGAGAAAGGGAAAAAAGGGAAGGATGAACCGCTTGATGACCGTGGCTGCCACAATGCACTGCTCTTGAGTCGAGATAGGCCGATGGATCGTCAATGAGGTAGATGCCACCAAGGCAGAGGGAAATAGCGACGCACCTTCCCAAAAAGAGGGAAATAGCGACGCACCTTCCCAAGGCAGAGGGAAATAGCCACACGCTGCAACTCTCCTCCTGACAAATTCACCACCTCCTGGTCGAGCAGGGGGTCGATCTGCATGGGGCAACTTCTGAGCCGCCCCAGAACCGCCCCAAACCACCTTGAACCGCCGCAGTCTCCAAGAGAGAGTTGACCAACCCACCCACTCCTTCCTTACCTTTCCCAGACAAAGGGTAATAGCCACGCGCTGCAGCTCCCCACCCGACAAATTCACCACCTCCTGGTCCAGGAGCGGGTCGATCTGCATGGGGCGCAGCACGTCGGTGTTGAACTGCGGGTGGTGGAACGAGTCTCGGATCTTGGAGTGCAGCAGCGCGCGCACGCTGTGGGGGAACTTGGGGGAGATCTTCTGCGGCTTGTACGACACGTTGAACTCCGGGAGGTCCTCGGCCTCCTTGCCGGTCTCCTCGTCCGGGTCAGCCTTTAAGAGACCAGCCTGTAAGGGGTTGAGAAGGACACAGGAGAGCGGAAAGGAGAGGAACGAGAGGGTATGAGAGGGGGAACTTGCGGCTGATCTTCTGCGGCTTGTACGACACGTTGAACTCCGGGAGGTCCTCAGCTTCTTTCCCGGTCTCCTCGTCTGGATCTGCCTTCAAGAGGCCGGCCTGGAGGGGTTCAGAACGAGACAGGAGAGGAGAGGGGAGGAGGGAGGAGAGTAACGCAGAAAACTTGGGGCTGGGCTGGCCTTCTGCGGCCTGTACAACACACTGAAATCCGGGAGATCTTCGGCTTCCTTGCCAGTTGATTCGTCCGGGTCGGCCTTTAACAGACCAGCCTGCGTGATACAAGGGAGAAGGGAGACAAGGCACGGGGGATCGAAGTGGAAAGGGAAGAAAAAGGGACGGAGAATGAGAATGGGAAGGGAAACTTGGGGCTGGGCTGGTCTTCTGCGGCCTGTACGACGCGTTGAACTCGGGAAAACCTTGGGCCTCCTTGCCGGTTTCCTCATCTGGGTCCGGCCTTGAGAGAGCCGCCTGGAAGGGAGAGAGGAGGGATGGAAGATGGATCATGGAAGGGACAGGGAGGAGAGAGAGCCAAAGAGACGTGCAAGCTGGCGATATTGGGAGACGCGGAAACGGGAAGGAAACGGGAATTTAGGAGCCAACGACTAGCCCAACCGGTATGCATATGACACAAGAGTCGGCCTATTAGCTCTTCGGAAGCATGTGGCATGGTGCGGGCACATGCAAGTTGGGCTACCGGCCTACCACCAGCCATGCACAGGTGAGAGAGTTGGCCTACCAGCATGCGGATAAAGGTGGTTTCGCCGGTGCCATTCTCCCCCAGCATCACCACGATCTGCGAGTCTGTGCCTTGCGTCCACTGCCATCCCTACCTATGGTGCACACATGTGCCTACCAGCATGCGCACCCATGAGAGACAGCTTCCCTACCAGCATGCGGATAAAGGTGGTCTTGCCGGTGCCGTTCTCCCCCAGCATCACCACGATCTGTGAGTCCGTGAAGTCACCAGGTTCCACCGTCAGCTTGAATCCGCCCTGCTTCTTGACCATGCGCGGGTACTTGTAGCGCGTGTACGTCTTGGCCTCTTCAGGGTTATCGACTGGGGTTTCAGCAACCTGAGATGGAATGGAGAGGGGGGGAGGGGAAGGAGGGGCTTGAACCCGCCCTGCTTCTTGACCATGCGCGGGTACTTGTAGCGCGTGTACGTCTTGGCTTCTTCAGGATCATCCACCGGGGTTTCAGCCACCTGATGGGAGCAATGATGGGTTGAGATGGGTCAGAAATAAGGGTAATTTAGCTGCAAAGCTTGAACCCGCCCTGCTTCTTGATCATGCGCGGGTACTTGTACCGCGTGTACGTCTTGGCCTCTTCAGGATTATCCACCGGGGTTTCAGCCACCTGAGATGGAATGAAGGGGGGTGAAAGAATGGAGTGAGGGAGGGGAAGGAGGAGGTTGAACCCGCCGTGCTTCTTGATCATGCCCAAATACCTGTACCGAACCGACTGTACGTCTTGGCCTCCCTCCTCAGGATTATCCACCGGGGTTTTCGTCCCCTGATGGGAGGGGGAAAGGAGAAGAGGCACGGGCGGAGGAGAGGGAGTGGAGGGGAGGAAAGGAGTGCTTTGAGGAACCTGAGACAGCACACAGAGAGCTTCAACACGCCCTGCTTCTTGATCATGCGTGGGTACTTGTACCAAGTATATGTCTTGGCCTCGTCCGTTTCTTCCAACTCTGAAAATGAATGAGCTTTTCGTCTCAAAAATGTGGGTCTGACTTCTGAGTCGACTTTTGTGTCTTAAGTCGGCTCAAAAGATGAAAAAAAAAGATGCTCATGCCCTATCTAACGAAGTTGGAAACTGAGGCAAGGAAGAAACATCCATTCACAAAGAGGAGCGACAGACAAGCAGACCCACACGGAAGGTGAGCGACTCGTCTTGAAAACGCAGGTTTCCAGCTGGTATGAAGCCGGCAAGAAAGATGTTCATTCCCTCGAGCACAGAGAAACACAAAATTCCCCTCTTTCAAGTCAACACCTAAAGCAGACTCACCCTGAAGGTGAGCGGCTCGTCTCGGAAGCGCAGGTTCTCGGTCAGAACAAAGCCGGCAAGGAAGATGTTGATGCCCCCTCGCACTGCTGATTGAATTCTAAAGGTGTGCCTGCAATATGAAAATTTTGATGTCCCGACGGACACGGTGACACCCTCACGGCAGACTCACCCTGAATGTGAGCGACTCGTCTCGGAAGCGCAGGTTCTCGGTTGGCACGAAGCCAGCCAGGAAGATGTTGATGCCCTCTCGCACGGAGAAGGGCAGCGTGACCACCCCGTAGGCACCGGGCTTGCCGTAGAGGCAGCAGATGAAGTCCGAGAGATAGTCGAGCACACTGAGATCGTGCTCCACCACAATGACGTATCTGGGGGGGGATGGGGATGATGGAATGGGGAGTGAGTGGGCAGGGCAGTGGGTGCATGGGGTGATAGCGCAGAAAAAACCGCCCTGTATGCCCCTGGCTTGCCGTAGAGGCAGCACATGAAGTGGGAGAGATAGTCGAGCACACTCAGGTCACGCTCCACCACAATCACGTATCTGGAACGGTGGGGGATGCATGGAGGAATGGGGGAATGAAAGGGAGCAAGGGAAAGGGCAGTGGTGTAACAATATCGTACCACTGGTTTCATATTCCTATTCGATGTTCAAGTATTTTAGCACTAATGGATTTGGTTCAACTAGCTTGTTATTCGGTTACATATTGACTCCCTTCGAGGGGTTCAAGAACTTACTAAGGGAGTCAATATGTAACCGAATGACCAGCTATTTGAATCAAATCCAACAGTGTTTAAATACTTGAGCATTGAATAGGAATATGAAACAAATGACCAGCTATGACCAGCTATTTGAATCCCTCTTTCCCTTGCTCTATCCACCAACCATTGATCGCACCTGTTCGGACCACTGACCATACCTGTCGGGGCGCAGCAGCGAGCGGATGACCTGCGCTGCCTTCAATCGCTGCCGCACGTCCAGGTAGCTGGAAGGCTCATCGAACATGTAGATGTCTCCCAGCTGCCCCGCCACCACTCCAATGGCAAACCGTTGCAGCTCGCCTCCTGACAGATGCTCCACCTCACGCTCCCACACCTGAAAGGAGTGGTGAATCGGGATGAGGATAGGTGATTAGGTGGGGAAGAGGAGAGGGCTCATCGAACATGTAGATGTCTGTCTCCCAGCTGCCCCCCCACCACTCCAACGGCAAAGCGCTGCAGCTCTCCTCCGGACACGTGCTCCACCTCACGCTCCCACACCTGGACGAGGGAAGGGGAAAAGGGAGGAAGGCGAATAGGAAGGAATTAGACGGGGGAAGTGCAACCAGATGGGGGTGTGCAAGACTAGCTCGTTGGCCCTGATGGCAAACCGATCAATGTTTTTCCCCCTACCGCCTCTTTATGCACCCACCCTTCTCTGTGAGCACCACGCCCACCACCCCCTTCACCGAAGAGCAAACAAGGGGTACTATAACGCAGAGCGTGGACAATAAAGAGAGTGACAATAGCGAGAGGGGAGATGAAACCCCCCCATGACCCCCCCCCAAGGCCCCCCCAAGGCCCCCCCAAGGCCCCCCCAAGGCCCCCCCAAGGCCCCCCCAAGGCCCCCCCCAAGGCCCCCCTAAGGCCCCCCTACCCCCCAATCCTCCTCACAGCCCCCCACCCCGCCCCCCAAAATCCCTGGCATGGGCATGGTCCCCCCCTATCCCTACAGTAACCGGGCGGCAGCAACAGTAACCGGGTGGCAGCAACAGTAACCGGGTGGCAGCAACAGTAACCGGGCGCAGCAGCAACAGTGTCTGGGCGGCAGCAACAGTGTCTGGGCGGCAGCAACAGTGTATGGGCGGCAGCAACAGTGTCTGGGCGGCAGCAACAGTGTCTGGGCGGCAGCAACAGTGTCTGGGCGGCAGCAACAGTGTCTGGGCGGCAGCAACAGTGTCTGGGCGGCAACAACAGTGTCTGGGCGGCAACAACAGTGTCTGGGCGGCACCAATAGTGTCTGGGCGGCACCAACAGTGTCTGGGCGGCAGCAACAGTGTCTGGATGGCAGCAACAGTGTCTGGATGGCAGCAACAGTACCTGGGCGGCAGCAACAGTACCTGGGCGGCAGCAACAGTACCTGGGCGGCAGCAACAGTGTATGGACGGAATCAACAGTGTCTGGGGAGCATCAACAGCATCTGGGCGGTAGCAACAGTGTCTGGGCGGCAGCAACAGTAAGGGGGCGGCTGGAACAGTAACCGGGCGGCAGGCTGCTGGAACAGGGGCCAGGCTGAAACCCCGTGGGCCCGAGCTCCCCACCCCAGGCCCGGCCAAACCAGACCAGGCCAGGGCATGGCTATATAGTAGGCATGCCCATACATACAAGCACACATATCAAGTCCTACAATCCTAGCTACACAGACAGATTCTACCACTGAAATTAGTTAAGCAGTTATCATGCGTGCTAGAACATCATAAGCGTAATAAATGAAGGCATGGCAAGGCTATAGGTTTGTGGCATGAGCAGGGTGTGGTTTGAACGCACGTGCAGAGAGTGAAAGCATGTGGAGGAGGGACGGCAAGGGAGGGGGGGGGGGGGGAGAGATGCCACGAGTGAGGAGTGGCAGCTTCTCACCTGGCTGGCTGTTTTGGGCAATGAGTGAGTGGGGGGAGGGAGCATAGCAAGTGAGTGCGGGGAGCATGGCGAGCAAGCGGGGATGGCAGAGGGGTGAACAGAGGGAACAGAGGGAACAAAAGGTGGGTGAACAGTGGGGAAAAAACCGTGGTGTGAACAACGGGGGACGGAGAAACAGTGGTGTGAACATTTCGGGACGGGGAAACAATGGCGTGAACAGTGGGGGACGGGGAAACAATGGCATGAACAGTGGGGGACGGGGAAACGGTGGTGTGAAAAGTGGGTGAACAGTAAAGGTGAGTGCAGGGGAGCAGAGGTGAGTGCAGGGGAGCAGAGGTGAGTGCAGGGGAGCAGAGGTGAGTGCAGGGGAGCAGAGGTGAGCGCAGGGGAGCAGAGGTGAGCGCAGGGGAGCAGAGGTGAGCGCAGGGGAGCAGAGGTGAGCGCAGGGGAGCAGAGGTGAGCGCAGGGGAGCAGAGGTGACCGCAGGGGAGCAGAGGTGAGCGCAGGGGAGCAGAGATGAGTGCAGGGGAGCAGAGGTGAGCGCAGGGGAGCAGAGGTGAGCGCAGGGGAGCAGAGGTGAGCGCAGGGGAGCAGAGGTGAGCGCAGGGGAGCAGAGGTGAGCGCAGGGGAGCAGAGGTGAGCGCAGGGGAGCAGAGGTGAGCGCAGGGGAGCAGAGATGAGTGCTGGGGAGCAGTGGGGAAAGGTGAATAAAGGGGAGCGGTGGTGGGGGAAGGTGAAGAGTGGTGATAAGTGGGGGGGGATGGTGAGTGTGGGGAGCAGAGGTGGTGAGTGTGGAGGCAATCTCCCTCGCCTCCCTCCCTCTCACCACGCAACGCAACGCAAGCAACGTACCTTGCGCACTGCAACGCAACGCAAGCAACGTACCTTGCGCACTGCAACGCAACGCAAGCAGCGTACCTTGCGCACTGCACTGGCCGAGCCTCATCCAGACCAGAGCCGAGCCGAACCTCGTCCGACGTCGAGGCCAAGTCCGGCAGACCTCAGCCACCTCTGGGGTGGGAGGGTGGAGGGTGAGAGAGGCGGTGATTGGGGGGGAAGAGGAGGCGAGGGGGGATTAAGGAGGTCAGGGGGGGAGGGCATAACGAGTGCACATCTCAAGCGCGTTTACGAGGTGAGTACGTACGGGGGACAGGGGAGGGTGAGAAGAGGGGTGGACAGGAGGTGAGAAGAGAGGACGAGAGGAGGTGAGTACGGGGGACGGACGAGGCGAGGAGAGGGCAGTACAGGAGGTAACGACGCCTCGTTAAACAGTGGGGGGGGGGGGGGGGGGGGGGGATGCCACGAGTGAGGAGTGGCAGCTTCTCACCTGGCTGGATGTTTCGGGCAATGAGTGAGTGGGGGGAGGGGAGGGAGCATAGCAAGTGAGTGCGGGGAGCATGGCGAGCAAGCGGGGATGGCAGAGGGGTGAACAGAGGGAACAGAGGGAACAAAAGGTGGGTGAACAGTGGGGAAAAAACCGTGGTGTGAACAACGGGGGACGGAGAAACAGTGGTGTGAACATTTGGGGACGGGGAAACAATGGCGTGAACAGTGGGGGACGGGGAAACGGTGGTGTGAAAAGTGGGTGAACAGTAAAGGTGAGTGCAGGGGAGCAGAGGTGAGTGCAGGGGAGCAGAGGTGAGTGCAGGGGAGCAGAGGTGAGTGCAGGGGAGCAGAGGTGAGCGCAGGGGAGCAGAGGTGAGCGCAGGGGAGCAGAGGTGAGCGCAGGGGAGCAGAGGTGAGCGCAGGGGAGCAGAGGTGAGCGCAGGGGAGCAGAGATGAGTGCTGGGGAGCAGTGGGGAAAGGTGAATAAAGGGGAGCGGTGGTGGGGGAAGGTGAAGAGTGGTGATAAGTGGGGGGGGATGGTGAGTGTGGGGAGCAGAGGTGGTGAGTGTGGAGGCAATCTCCCTCGCCTCCCTCCCTCTCACCACGCAACGCAACGCAAGCAACGTACCTTGCGCACTGCAACGCAACGCAAGCAACGTACCTTGCGCACTGCACTGGCCGAGCCTCATCCAGACCAGAGCCGAGCCGAACCTCGTCCGACGTCGAGGCCAAGTCCGGCAGACCTCAGCCACCTCTGGGGTGGGAGGGTGGAGGGTGAGAGAGGCGGTGATTGGGGGGGGGAAGAGGAGGCGAGGGGGGATTAAGGAGGTCAGGGGGGGAGGGCATAACGAGGGCACAAAACAAGCGCGTTTAGGAGGTGAGTACGGGGGACAGGGGAGGTGAGAAGAGAGGACGAGAGGAGATGAGTACGGGGGGACGGACGAGGTGAGGAGAGGGGAGTACAGGAGGTGATGACGCCTCGTCATGGTCTCACCTCGTGCCTCTCTCCTCGCCGCGCCGTTGCCCACCTGCCCCGCCACGTGGCCATCCGTGATTGGCTGAGAGGCGGGCGGCGGCGCCACGGTCATACGTTCTTCGTACAACTGGAGGGGGGGGATGGGGAAGAGGGGCACGGAGCTTGGGGGGGCAACTGGAGGGGGGTTCCACCAGCGCGCGACGCGCCGTTCTCCGCAGGGTTAAGGTTGACCGCGGGAAACGGCGGGAAACCGGCAGAAAAGGGCGGGAATCAGGAAAGAAGCAACACGCCGCGCCTGCAGCGCGGAACGCGCACATTGCGCCACATGCAGCGCGGAACGAGCACATTGCGCCGCCTGCAGCGCGGAACGCGCACATCGCCCCGCCTGCAGCGCGGAACGTGCACATTGCGCCGCCTGCAGCGCGGAACGAGCACATCGCGCCGCCTGCAGCGCGGAACGAGCATATCGCCCCGCCTGCAGCGCGGAACAAGCACATTGCCCCGCCTGCAGCGCGGAACAAGCACATCTCCCCGCCTGCAGCGCGGAACGCGCACATCGCCCCGCCTGCAGCACGGAACGAGCACATCGCCCCGCCTGCAGCGCGGAACGCGCACATCGCCCCGCCTGCAGCGCGGAACGCGCACATCGCCCCGCCTGCAGCGCGGAACGCGCACATCGCCCCGCCTGCAGCGCGGAACGCGCACATTGCGCCGCCTGCAGCGCGGAACGCGCACATCGCCCCGCCTGCAGCGCGGAACGAGCACATTGCGCCGCCTGCAGCGCGGAACGAGCAGGAAACGGAGGGGATCAAGTTGACCGAGGAAGACGGCGGGAAACGGCGGGAAGGAAAACCATGGGAAACCATGGGCAAGAGCGGGAAGCGGCGGGAAAAGGCTGGAAAAGAAGGGAATCAGCGCGGAAAGGGCACTAAGCCGTGCATGGGGCGCGGAGAAAAGGCAACTCGCCACGCCTGCAGCGAGGAAATGCACTTCGCCGTGCCTGCAGCGCTGAAAAAAGCAACTCGCCGCGCCTGCAGCGCGGAAGACGCACTTGGCCACGCCTCTCAGCTGGCAGTGCCGAGCCTCTCACCAGGCAGTGCCGAGCCTCTCATGGCGCGCGATCCGCCGCCTACCACGTGGCGCGCGATCCGCCGCCTGGTGATGCCGCTGCCTGGTGGGAGAGGTAGGTAAGTGGGAGAGGTAAGTGCTGATCTGATAGGAACATTTGCCGTCAAATATAAAACAAAGAAAGAAGAACAACATAACAGAAATGATAGGACGAGCAAAGCTGAACACAAAAGGAGGCAGTGAAGCAGGAAGCACCCGCTACGAGTTAAGAAGTCCAAGGCGCCTGGTGAGAGTGTTGAGCGGGAAACGGCGGGAAAAGGCAGGAGGCAGAACATGGAGAGGAGAGGAAGGGCCGGGGAAGAGGGAAACTTTAGCTAAAAATATAATCTCACCGTGTTAATACAAATATAAATCGCATCTAAACAACCGGAGCATCTGCTGGAACGCGGAATAACTCTCACGGGGGCCTAAGCTGCTGCGCCCACCATTCCGTCAGCGGCGTGACATCGGCCATCTGCTGCCGCGGCGCGCCATTCCGCCATCTGCTGCGCGCGCCAATTCGCCTGCTGCTGCGCGCGCCATTCTCCCTGCTGCTGAACGATTTATGACTAAGAGAAACAAAAATAAAAATGCTAAGAGAATGCTACTAAGAGCATTTAGAGGAATGACTATAGAACGCTACTACTAGTGAAACCGTCCAGTGAGAGCGACGCTGGGAGAAGAAGAGCAGTCGAGAGAAAGAGGAGGAGGTTAACAATGGGAGAGTTGAAGCGTTGAAAAACATCTGCTGCTGCGGTGAGAGAAGAAACGCGTCTTTGCACTACAGGACAATATCACGACCGTTCGACGGTGAGGTCCAACCGAGCCACCTCGCGCGCACGCGCTTTCGCTCCGCGCAGCGACCCGTGTGACATGACATCGCATGCTGCAGATTTAACGGACATCTAACGCTATATCTGCAAATGAGAAAAAGCGCGGGGCGAATAAACGAAAGCACCGCGCAGGGAGCAGCGCGAGGCGCGCATGACGACGACAATTTAACGGGCGCGAAGCGTGCAAGGCGCGCGAACAAACACTGGACTGAGACCTTACTAATGCGAATGACACGGCAGCGGATTAGGTGGTTGTGAGCTAACTGAGAAGGGCGAGGCGAGGAATGCGAGAGAATCGAGTTTGGTGCGGAGAGGAGAGGTGGATGAGATTGAAACCCACCCTCCCACAAAATGTTTTGTAACAAGGAGGGCAGAGAGAAACAAAAGGGAAAGCTAACTCCACACCCTAATCTGAAAATGGAAGAGAGTCAACTGAGTGGATCCGATTTACACGTACAAATGTTCGGGCGGAATAAAAAAACGAAAAAAAAATGTTGTAAGACGATGCGCGTCACATTCGCCACTCACAGCACAAACGGATGTTCCTATCTGATTGTTACTGTGGTTTGAGGCGCGAGTCGACTTGCAGCCTCCGCAGTTGTGCAGCTACACCTCCAGAGTACTAAGTAATATCTCCTACATGAACATGTTCGCACTTATCAAGTACATTTGAAAAAACAAAAAGGCATTGGCTCATAATAAGGAAATGTTTACAAGATAAGGTTTATAACATATGCACATGGGCTAATTAAATGGATATTATAGGGCCGTATTATTTTCTTTCCTCGTTGAAGCGAAGCGTCTCCATATGTCGTTATAAAACGAACTAACGTCACAGGCAACAAAAAAGGTGCGCGTAATTACTTCAAATATAAGGACGACGATGACAAGTACGGGAACAACAACGAGGACGCGGAGGAGGAGGAGGAGGAGGAGGAGGAGGAGGAGGAGGAGGAGGAGGAGGAGGAGGAGGAGGAGGAGGAGGAGGAGGAGGAGGAGGAGGAGGAGGATGCGGAGGAGGAGGAGGAGCAGGAGCAGGAGCGGGAGTAGGTGCAGGAGGAGGAGCAGGAGGAGGGGAGGAGGAGGAAACATCAGTGGGAGTACTAGCGGCAAACGGCAGCAGTGCGCAATAGCCTTACCATCAAGCAGCACTAGGAAACGCTAGCGGCGAACAGTAGCTGTGCGCAACAGCCTCACCATTGAGCAGCAACATAAAATGTTCAGCAGAAGTATGAAACACCACCACAAGCACAAACAACGAACGGTAGTAGTGAGCATCCGCCTCACCATCGAGCAGCAATGGAAAATGTTCAATAGCAGTAGGAAACAACAAGAGTACCACAAGCTTGAACGGTAGTTTTGAGAATCTGGCTTGCAATTGAGCAGCAACAGGAAATGTTCAACAGCAGTAGGAAAAAACAGCACGAGCAAAAGAAGGGAACGATAGTAGTGAGCATCCGCCTCACCATCGAGCAGCAGCTGAAAATGCAGTAGTAGTGAGCATTCGCCTCACCATCGAGTAGCATCACCATCGAGCAGCAACAGAACAGGGGTGACAACGACCAGGAGGGCGACGACAACGAGGCGGAGGAGGACAAGGAGGAGGAGGAGGAGGAGGAGGAGGAGGAGGAGGAGGAGGAGGAGGAGGAGGAGGAGGAGGAGGAGGAGGAGGAGGAGGAGGAGGAAGACGACGAGGACCAGGACGAAGAGCAGGAGCAGGAGCAGGGGCAGGAGGAGGAGGAGGAGGAGGAGGAGGAGGAGGAGGAGGAGGAGGAGGAGGAGGAGGAGGAGGAGGAGGAGGAGGAGGAGGAGGAGGAGGACAAGGAGCAGGAGGAGGAGGAGGAGGAGGAGGAGGAGGAGGAGGAGGAGGAGGAGGAGGAGGAGGAGGAGGAGGAGGAGGAGGACAAGGAGGAGGACGAGGAGGAGGAGGAGGGCGACGAGAAAGAAGACGACAACGATGAGGTGGAGGAAGACGAGGAGGAGGAGGAGAACGAGGAGGAGGAGGAAGACGAGGAAGAGGAGGAGGAGGAGGAGGAGGAGGAGGAGGAGGAGGAGGAGGAGGAGGAGGAGGAGGAGGAGGAGGAGGAGAACGAGGAGGACGAGGAGGAGGAGGAGAAGGAGGAGTAGGAGGAGGAAGACGAGAAGGAGGAGGAGGAAGAGGAGGAGGAGGAGGAGGAGGAGGAGGAGGAGGAGGAGGAGGAGGAGGAGGAGGAGGAGGAGGAGGAAACACCAGTATGAGCACAAACAGCAAACAGCTGTACTTAGCATCCGCCTCACAATCGAGCAGCAACAAAAAATACTCAGCAGCAGTATGAAACACCATCACGAGCACAAGCAGCAAACGGTAGTAGTGAGCATCCACCTCACCATCAAGCAACAACAGATAATATCCAGCAGCAGTAGGAAACACCAGCACGAGCACAAGCAGCGAACTGTAGTAGTGAGAAACCACCTCACCATCGAGCAGCAACTGAAGATGTTCAGCAGCCGTAGGAAACACCAGCACGAGCACAAGCAGCGAAAGGTAGTAGTCAGCATCCGCCTCACCATCGAGAAGCAACGGAAAATGTTCAGCAGCAGTAGAAAACACCAGCACGAACACAAGCAGCGAACGATAGTAGTGAGCATCCGCCTCACCATCGAGCAGCAGCTGAAAATGCAGTAGTAGTGAGCATTCGCCTCACCATCGAGCAGCAACGGAAAATGCTAAACAGCACTAGGAAACACCAGCACGAGCAGAAGTAGCGAACGGCAGTAGTGAGCATTCGCCTCACCATCGAGCAGCAACGGAAAATGCTCAGCAGCACTAGGATACACCAGCACGAGCACAAGGAGCGAACGGCAACAGTGAGCATTCGCCTCACCATCGAGCAGCAATATAAAATGTTCAGCAGTGATAAGAAGCAACCGGACCAGCACAAGCAGCGAATGGTAGTAGTGAGCATCTGCCTCGCCATCGAGCAGCAACAGAACAGGTGTGACAAGGATGGTGAAGGTGACAACGACGAGGAGGAAGAGGGCAGGGAGGAGGAAGACGACGACGAGGAGGACCAGGACGAGGAGCTGGAGCAGGAGCAGGAGCAGGAGCAGGAGCAGGAGGAGAAGGAGGAAGAGGAGGAGGAAGAGGAGGAGGAGGAGGAGAAGGAGGAGGAGGAGGAGGAGGAGGAGGAAAAGGAGGAGGAGGAGGAGGAGGAGGAGGAAGAGGAGGAGGAGGACGAGGATGAGGAGGAAGACGAGGAGGAGGAGGAGGAGGAGTAGGAGTAGGAGGAGAAGGAGGAGGAGGAGGAGGAGGAGGAGGAGGAGGAGGAGGAGGAGGAGGAGGAGGAGGAGGAGGAGGAGGGCGACGAGAAAGAAGTCGACGACGATGAGGTGGAGGAAGACGAGGAGGAGGAGGGGAACGAGGAGTAGGAGGAGGAAGACGAGAAGGAGGAGGAGGAAGAGGAGGAGGAGGAGGAGGAGGAGGAGGAGGAGGAGGAGGAGGAGGAGGAGGAGGAGGAGGAGGAGGAAACACCAGTATGAGCACAAACAGCAAACAGTTGTACTTAGCATCCGCCTCACAATCGAGCAGCAACAGAAAATACTCAGCAGCAGTATGAAACACCAGCACGAGCACAAGCAGCGAACTGTAGTAGTGAGAAACCACCTCACCATCGAGCAGCAACTGAAGATGTTCAGCAGCCGTAGGAAACACCAGCACGAGCACAAGCAGCGAAAGGTAGTAGTCAGCATCCGCCTCACCATCGAGAAGCAACGGAAAATGTTCAGCAGCAGTAGAAAACACCAGCACGAAAACAAGCAGCGAACGATAGCAGTGAGCATCCGCCTCACCATCGAGCAGCAGCTGAAAATGCAGTAGTAGTGAGCATTCGCCTCACCATCGAGTAGCATCACCATGGAACAGCAACAGAACAGGGGTGACAACGACCAGGAGGGCGACGACAACGAGGCGGAGGAGGACAAGGACAAGGAGGAGGAGGAGGAGGAGGAGGAGGAGGAGGAGGAGGAGGAGGAGGAGGAGGAGGAGGAGGAGGAGGAGGAGGAGGAGGAGGAGGAGGAAGACGACGAGGACCAGGACGAAGAGCAGGAGCAGGAGCAGGGGCAGGAGGAGGAGGAGGAGGAGGAGGAGGAGGAGGAGGAGGAGGAGGAGGAGGAGGAGGAGGAGGAGGAGGAGGAGGAGGAGGACAAGGAGCAGGAGGAGGAGGAGGAGGAGGAGGAGGAGGAGAAGGAGGAGGAGGAGGAGGAGGAGGAGGAGGAGGAGGAGGAGGAGGACAAGGAGGAGGACGAGGAGGAGGAGGAGGGCGACGAGAAAGAAGACGACAACGATGAGGTGGAGGAAGACGAGGAGGAGGAGGAGAACGAGGAGGAGGAGGAAGACGAGGAAGAGGAGGAGGAGGAGGAGGAGGAGGAGGAGGAGGAGGAGGAGGAGGAGGAGGAGGAGGAGGAGGAGGAGAACGAGGAGGACGAGGAGGAGGAGGAGAAGGAGGAGTAGGAGGAGGAAGACGAGAAGGAGGAGGAGGAAGAGGAGGAGGAGGAGAAGGAGGAGGAGGAGGAGGAGGAGGAGGAGGAGGAGGAGGAGGAGGAGGAGGAGGAGGAGGAGGAGGAGGAGGAGGAGGAAACACCAGTATGAGCACAAACAGCAAACAGTTGTACTTAGCATCCGCCTCACAATCCAGCAGCAACAAAAAATACTCAGCAGCAGTATGAAACACCATCACGAGCACAAGCAGCAAACGGTAGTAGTGAGCATCCACCTCACCATCAAGCAACAACAGATAATATCCAGCAGCAGTAGGAAACACCAGCACGAGCACAAGCAGCGAACTGTAGTAGTGAGAAACCACCTCACCATCGAGCAGCAACTGAAGATGTTCAGCAGCCGTAGGAAACACCAGCACGAGCACAAGCAGCGAAAGGTAGTAGTCAGCATCCGCCTCACCATCGAGAAGCAACGGAAAATGTTCAGCAGCAGTAGAAAACACCAGCACGAACACAAGCAGCGAACGATAGTAGTGAGCATCCGCCTCACCATCGAGCACCAGCTGAAAATGCAGTAGTAGTGAGCATTCGCCTCACCATCGAGCAGCAACGGAAAATGCTAAACAGCACTAGGAAACACCAGCACGAGCAGAAGTAGCGAACGGCAGTAGTGAGCATTCGCCTCACCATCGAGCAGCAACGGAAAATGCTCAGCAGCACTAGGATACACCAGCACGAGCACAAGGAGCGAACGGCATTAGTGAGCATTCGCCTCACCATCGAGCAGCAATATAAAATGTTCAGCAGTGATAAGAAGCAACCGGACCAGCACAAGCAGCGAATGGTAGTAGTGAGCATCTGCCTCGCCATCGAGCAGCAACAGAACAGGTGTGACAAGGATGGTGAAGGTGACAACGACGAGGAGGAAGAGGGCAGGGAGGAGGAAGACGACGACGAGGAGGACCAGGACGAGGAGCTGGAGCAGGAGCAGGAGCAGGAGCAGGAGCAGGAGCAGGAGGAGAAGGAGGAAGAGGAGGAGGAAGAGGAGGAGGAGGAGGAGGAGGAGGAGGAGGAGGAGGAGGAGGAGGAGGAGGAGGAGGAGGAGGAGGAAAAGGAGGAGGAGGAGGAGGAGGAAGAGGAGGAGGAGGACGAGGATGAGGAGGAAGACGAGGAGGAGGAGGAGGAGGAGTAGGAGTAGGAGGAGAAGGAGGAGGAGGAGGAGGAGGAGGAGGAGGAGGAGGAGGAGGAGGAGGAGGAGGAGGAGGAGGAGGAGGAGGAGGAGGGCGACGAGAAAGAAGTCGACGACGATGAGGTGGAGGAAGACGAGGAGGAGGAGGGGAACGAGGAGTAGGAGGAGGAAGACGAGAAGGAGGAGGAGGAAGAGGAGGAGGAGGAGGAGGAGGAGGAGGAGGAGGAGGAGGAGGAGGAGGAGGAGGAGGAGGAGGAAACACCAGTATGAGCACAAACAGCAAACAGTTGTACTTAGCATCCGCCTCACAATCGAGCAGCAACAGAAAATACTCAGCAGCAGTATGAAACACCAGCACGAGCACAAGCAGAGAACTGTAGTAGTGAGAAACCACCTCACCATCGAGCAGCAACTGAAGATGTTCAGCAGCCGTAGGAAACACCAGCACGAGCACAAGCAGCGAAAGGTAGTAGTCAGCATCCGCCTCACCATCGAGAAGCAACGGAAAATGTTCAGCAGCAGTAGAAAACACCAGCACGAAAACAAGCAGCGAACGATAGTAGTGAGCATCCGCCTCACCATCGAGCAGCAGCTGAAAATGCAGTAGTAGTGAGCATTCGCCTCACCATCGAGCAGCAACGGAAAATGCTAAACAGCACTAGGAAACACCAGCACGAGCAGAAGTAGCGAAGGGCAGTAGTGAGCATTCGCCTCACCATCGAGCAGCAACGGAAAATGCTCAGCAGCACTAGGATACACCAGCACGAGCACAAGGATGCGAACGGCAACAGTGAGCATTCGCCTCACCATCGAGCAGCAATATAAAATGTTCAGCATCGATAAGAAGCAACCGGACCAGCACAAGCAGCAAATGGTAGTAGTGAGCATCTGCCTCGCCATCGAGCAGCAACAGAACAGGTGTGACAAGGACGGGGAAGGCGACGACGACGAGGAGGAAGAGGGCAGGGAGGAGGAAGACGACGACGAGGAGGACCAGGACGAGGAGCTGGAGCAGGAGCAGGAGCAGGAGGAGAAGGAGGAAGAGAAGGAGGAAGAGGAGGAGGAGGAGGAGGAGGAGGAGGAGGAGGAGGAGGAGGAGGAGGAGGAGGAGGAGGAGGAGGAGGAGGAGGAAAAGGAGGAGGAGGAGGAGGAGGAAGAGGAGGAGGAGGACGAGGATGAGGAGAAAGACGAGGAGGAGGAGGAGGAGGAGTAGGAGTAGGAGGAGAAGGAGGAGGAGGAGGAGGAGGAGGAGGAGGAGGAGGAGGAGGAGGAGGAGGAGGAGGAGGAGGAGGAGGAGGAGGAGTAGGAGGAGGAGGACCACGACGACGACGACGACCATGACGACAACGACGAGGAGGAGAAGGACGAGGAGGACGAGGACGATGAGGAGGAGGAGGAGGAGGAGGAGGAGGAGGAGGAGGAGGAGGAGGAGGAGGAGGAGGAGGAGGAGGAGGAGGAGGAGGAGGAGGAGGAGGAGGAGGAAACACCAGCATGAGCACAAGCAGCAAATAGTAGTACTGAGCATCCGCCTCACAATCGAGAAGCAACAGAAAACACTCAGCAACAGTAGGAAACACCAGTACAAGCACAAGCAGCGAGCGGTAGTAGTGAGTAGTCGCTTCACGATCGAGGAGCAACAGGAAATACTTAGTAGCAGTAGGCAACACTAGCATGAGCACAAGCAGCGGACGGTAGTAGTGAACATCCGCCTCACCATCAAGCAGCAACAGAAAGTATTCAACAGGAGTAGGAAACACCAGCACGAGCACAAGCAGTGAACAGTAGTAGTGTGCATTCGCCTCACCATCGAGCAACAATATAAAATATCCAGCAGTAGTGGAAACACCATCACGAGCACAAGCAGCAAACGGTAGTAGTGAGCATCCGCCTCACCATCAAGCAACAACAGATAATATCAAGCAGCAGTAGGAAACACCAGCACGAGACAAGCAACGAACTGTAATAGTGAGAATCTGCCTCACCATCGAGCAGCAACTGAAGATGTTCAGCAGCCGTAGGAAACACCAGCACGAGCACAAGCAGCGAAAGGTAGTAGTCAGCATCCGCCTCACCATCGAGAAGCAACGGAAAATGTTCAGCACCAGTAGAAAACACCAGCACGAAAACAAGCAGCGAACGATAGCAGTGAGCATCCGCCTCACCATCGAGCAGCAGCTGAAAATGCAGTAGTAGTGAGCATTCGCCTCACCATCGAGTAGCATCACCATGGAGCAGCAACAGAACAGGGGTGACAACGACCAGGAGGGCGACGACAACGAGGCGGAGGAGGACAAGGACAAGGAGGAGGAGGAGGGGGAGGAGGAGGAGGAGGAGGAGGAGGAGGAGGAGGAGGAGGAGGAGGAGGAGGAGGAGGAGGAGGAGGAGGAAGACGACGAGGACCAGGACGAAGAGCAGGAGCAGGAGCAGGGGCAGGAGGAGGAGGAGGAGGAGGAGGAGGAGGAGGAGGAGGAGGAGGAGGAGGAGGAGGAGGAGGAGGAGGAGGAGGAGGAGGAGGAGGAGGAGGAGGAGGACAAGGAGCAGGAGGAGGAGGAGGAGGAGGAGGAGGAGGAGAAGGAGGAGGAGGAGGAGGAGGAGGAGGAGGAGGAGGAGGAGGAGGAGGAGGAGGAGGAGGACAAGGAGGAGGACGAGGAGGAGGAGGAGGGCGACGAGAAAGAAGACGACAACGATGAGGTGGAGGAAGACGAGGAGGAGGAGGAGAACGAGGAGGAGGAGGAAGACGAGGAAGAGGAGGAGGAGGAGGAGGAGGAGGAGGAGGAGGAGGAGGAGGAGGAGGAGGAGGAGGAGGAGGAGGAGGAGGAGGAGGAGGAGAACGAGGAGGACGAGGAGGAGGAGGAGAAGGAGGAGTAGGAGGAGGAAGACGAGAAGGAGGAGGAGGAAGAGGAGGAGGAGGAGAAGGAGGAGGAGGAGGAGGAGGAGGAGGAGGAGGAGGAGGAGGAGGAGGAGGAGGAGGAGGAAACACCAGTATGAGCACAAACAGCAAACAGTTGTACTTAGCATCCGCCTCACAATCCAGCAGCAACAAAAAATACTCAGCAGCAGTATGAAACACCATCACGAGCACAAGCAGCAAACGGTAGTAGTGAGCATCCACCTCACCATCAAGCAACAACAGATAATATCCAGCAGCAGTAGGAAACACCAGCACGAGCACAAGCAGCGAACTGTAGTAGTGAGAAACCACCTCACCATCGAGCAGCAACTGAAGATGTTCAGCAGCCGTAGGAAACACCAGCACGAGCACAAGCAGCGAAAGGTAGTAGTCAGCATCCGCCTCACCATCGAGAAGCAACGGAAAATGTTCAGCAGCAGTAGAAAACACCAGCACGAACACAAGCAGCGAACGATAGTAGTGAGCATCCGCCTCACCATCGAGCACCAGCTGAAAATGCAGTAGTAGTGAGCATTCGCCTCACCATCGAGCAGCAACGGAAAATGCTAAACAGCACTAGGAAACACCAGCACGAGCAGAAGTAGCGAACGGCAGTAGTGAGCATTCGCCTCACCATCGAGCAGCAACGGAAAATGCTCAGCAGCACTAGGATACACCAGCACGAGCACAAGGAGCGAACGGCAACAGTGAGCATTCGCCTCACCATCGAGCAGCAATATAAAATGTTCAGCAGTGATAAGAAGCAACCGGACCAGCACAAGCAGCGAATGGTAGTAGTGAGCATCTGCCTCGCCATCGAGCAGCAACAGAACAGGTGTGACAAGGATGGTGAAGGTGACAACGACGAGGAGGAAGAGGGCAGGGAGGAGGAAGACGACGACGAGGAGGACCAGGACGAGGAGCTGGAGCAGGAGCAGGAGCAGGAGCAGGAGCAGGAGGAGAAGGAGGAAGAGGAGGAGGAAGAGGAGGAGGAGGAGGAGGAGGAGGAGGAGGAGGAGGAGGAGGAGGAGGAGGAGGAGGAGGAGGAAAAGGAGGAGGAGGAGGAGGAGGAAGAGGAGGAGGAGGACGAGGATGAGGAGGAAGGCGAGGAGGAGGAGGAGGAGGAGTAGGAGTAGGAGGAGAAGGAGGAGGAGGAGGAGGAGGAGGAGGAGGAGGAGGAGGAGGAGGAGGAGGAGGAGGAGGAGGAGGAGGAGGGCGACGAGAAAGAAGTCGACGACGATGAGGTGGAGGAAGACGAGGAGGAGAAGGGGAACGAGGAGTAGGAGGAGGAAGACGAGAAGGAGGAGGAGGAAGAGGAGGAGGAGGAGGAGGAGGAGGAGGAGGAGGAGGAGGAGGAGGAGGAGGAGGAGGAGGAGGAGGAGGAGGAGGAGGAGGAAACACCAGTATGAGCACAAACAGCAAACAGTTGTACTTAGCATCCGCCTCACAATCGAGCAGCAACAGAAAATACTCAGCAGCAGTATGAAACACCAGCACGAGCACAAGCAGAGAACTGTAGTAGTGAGAAACCACCTCACCATCGAGCAGCAACTGAAGATGTTCAGCAGCCGTAGGAAACACCAGCACGAGCACAAGCAGCGAAAGGTAGTAGTCAGCATCCGCCTCACCATCGAGAAGCAACGGAAAATGTTCAGCAGCAGTAGAAAACACCAGCACGAAAACAAGCAGCGAACGATAGTAGTGAGCATCCGCCTCACCATCGAGCAGCAGCTGAAAATGCAGTAGTAGTGAGCATTCGCCTCACCATCGAGCAGCAACGGAAAATGCTAAACAGCACTAGGAAACACCAGCACGAGCAGAAGTAGCGAAGGGCAGTAGTGAGCATTCGCCTCACCATCGAGCAGCAACGGAAAATGCTCAGCAGCACTAGGATACACCAGCACGAGCACAAGGAGCGAACGGCAACAGTGAGCATTCGCCTCACCATCGAGCAGCAATATAAAATGTTCAGCATCGATAAGAAGCAACCGGACCAGCACAAGCAGCAAATGGTAGTAGTGAGCATCTGCCTCGCCATCGAGCAGCAACAGAACAGGTGTGACAAGGACGGGGAAGGCGACGACGACGAGGAGGAAGAGGGCAGGGAGGAGGAAGACGACGACGAGGAGGACCAGGACGAGGAGCTGGAGCAGGAGCAGGAGCAGGAGGAGAAGGAGGAAGAGAAGGAGGAAGAGGAGGAGGAGGAGGAGGAGGAGGAGGAGGAGGAGGAGGAGGAGGAGGAGGAGGAGGAGGAGGAAAAGGAGGAGGAGGAGGAGGAGGAAGAGGAGGAGGAGGACGAGGATGAGGAGAAAGACGAGGAGGAGGAGGAGGAGGAGGAGTAGGAGTAGGAGGAGAAGGAGGAGGAGGAGGAGGAGGAGGAGGAGGAGGAGGAGGAGGAGGAGGAGGAGGAGGAGGAGGAGGAGGAGGAGGAGGAGGAGGAGGAGGAGGAGGAGGAGTAGGAGGAGGAGGACCACGACGACGACGACGACCATGACGACAACGACGAGGAGGAGAAGGACGAGGAGGACGAGGACGATGAGGAGGAGGAGGAGGAGGAGGAGGAGGAGGAGGAGGAGGAGGAGGAGGAGGAGGAGGAGGAGGAGGAGGAGGAGGAGGAGGAGGAGGAGGAGGAGGAAACACCAGCATGAGCACAAGCAGCAAATAGTAGTACTGAGCATCCGCCTCACAATCGAGAAGCAACAGAAAACACTCAGCAACAGTAGGAAACACCAGTACAAGCACAAGCAGCGAGCGGTAGTAGTGAGTAGTCGCTTCACGATCGAGGAGCAACAGGAAATACTTAGTAGCAGTAGGCAACACTAGCATGAGCACAAGCAGCGGACGGTAGTAGTGAACATCCGCCTCACCATCAAGCAGCAACAGAAAGTATTCAACAGGAGTAGGAAACACCAGCACGAGCACAAGCAGTGAACAGTAGTAGTGTGCATTCGCCTCACCATCGAGCAACAATATAAAATATCCAGCAGTAGTGGAAACACCATCACGAGCACAAGCAGCAAACGGTAGTAGTGAGCATCCGCCTCACCATCAAGCAACAACAGATAATATCAAGCAGCAGTAGGAAACACCAGCACGAGACAAGCAACGAACTGTAATAGTGAGAATCTGCCTCACCATCGAGCAGCAACTGAAGATGTTCAGCAGCCGTAGGAAACACCAGCACGAGCACAAGCAGCGAAAGGTAGTAGTCAGCATCCGCCTCACCATCGAGAAGCAACGGAAAATGTTCAGCAGCAGTAGAAAACACCAGCACGAAAACAAGCAGCGAACGATAGCAGTGAGCATCCGCCTCACCATCGAGCAGCAGCTGAAAATGCAGTAGTAGTGAGCATTCGCCTCACCATCGAGTAGCATCACCATGGAGCAGCAACAGAACAGGGGTGACAACGACCAGGAGGGCGACGACAACGAGGCGGAGGAGGACAAGGACAAGGAGGAGGAGGAGGGGAGGAGGAGGAGGAGGAGGAGGAGGAGGAGGAGGAGGAGGAGGAGGAGGAGGAGGAGGAGGAGGAGGAGGAGGAGGAGGAGGAAGACGACGAGGACCAGGACGAAGAGCAGGAGCAGGAGCAGGGGCAGGAGGAGGAGGAGGAGGAGGAGGAGGAGGAGGAGGAGGAGGAGGAGGAGGAGGAGGAGGAGGAGGAGGAGGAGGAGGAGGAGGAGGAGGAGGAGGAGGAGGAGGAGGAGGACAAGGAGCAGGAGGAGGAGGAGGAGGAGGAGGAGGAGGAGAAGGAGGAGGAGGAGGAGGAGGAGGAGGAGGAGGAGGAGGAGGAGGAGGAGGAGGAGGACAAGGAGGAGGACGAGGAGGAGGAGGAGGGCGACGAGAAAGAAGACGACAACGATGAGGTGGAGGAAGACGAGGAGGAGGAGGAGAACGAGGAGGAGGAGGAAGACGAGGAAGAGGAGGAGGAGGAGGAGGAGGAGGAGGAGGAGGAGGAGGAGGAGGAGGAGGAGGAGGAGGAGGAGGAGGAGGAGGAGAACGAGGAGGACGAGGAGGAGGAGGAGAAGGAGGAGTAGGAGGAGGAAGACGAGAAGGAGGAGGAGGAAGAGGAGGAGGAGGAGAAGGAGGAGGAGGAGGAGGAGGAGGAGGAGGAGGAGGAGGAGGAGGAGGAGGAGGAGGAGGAGGAGGAGGAGGAGGAGGAAACACCAGTATGAGCACAAACAGCAAACAGTTGTACTTAGCATCCGCCTCACAATCCAGCAGCAACAAAAAATACTCAGCAGCAGTATGAAACACCATCACGAGCACAAGCAGCAAACGGTAGTAGTGAGCATCCACCTCACCATCAAGCAACAACAGATAATATCCAGCAGCAGTAGGAAACACCAGCACGAGCACAAGCAGCGAACTGTAGTAGTGAGAAACCACCTCACCATCGAGCAGCAACTGAAGATGTTCAGCAGCCGTAGGAAACACCAGCACGAGCACAAGCAGCGAAAGGTAGTAGTCAGCATCCGCCTCACCATCGAGAAGCAACGGAAAATGTTCAGCAGCAGTAGAAAACACCAGCACGAACACAAGCAGCGAACGATAGTAGTGAGCATCCGCCTCACCATCGAGCACCAGCTGAAAATGCAGTAGTAGTGAGCATTCGCCTCACCATCGAGCAGCAACGGAAAATGCTAAACAGCACTAGGAAACACCAGCACGAGCAGAAGTAGCGAACGGCAGTAGTGAGCATTCGCCTCACCATCGAGCAGCAACGGAAAATGCTCAGCAGCACTAGGATACACCAGCACGAGCACAAGGATGCGAACGGCAACAGTGAGCATTCGCCTCACCATCGAGCAGCAATATAAAATGTTCAGCAGTGATAAGAAGCAACCGGACCAGCACAAGCAGCGAATGGTAGTAGTGAGCATCTGCCTCGCCATCGAGCAGCAACAGAACAGGTGTGACAAGGATGGTGAAGGTGACAACGACGAGGAGGAAGAGGGCAGGGAGGAGGAAGACGACGACGAGGAGGACCAGGACGAGGAGCTGGAGCAGGAGCAGGAGCAGGAGCAGGAGCAGGAGGAGAAGGAGGAAGAGGAGGAGGAAGAGGAGGAGGAGGAGGAGGAGGAGGAGGAGGAGGAGGAGGAGGAGGAGGAGGAGGAGGAGGAAAAGGAGGAGGAGGAGGAGGAGGAAGAGGAGGAGGAGGACGAGGATGAGGAGGAAGACGAGGAGGAGGAGGAGGAGGAGTAGGAGTAGGAGGAGAAGGAGGAGGAGGAGGAGGAGGAGGAGGAGGAGGAGGAGGAGGAGGAGGAGGAGGAGGAGGAGGGCGACGAGAAAGAAGTCGACGACGATGAGGTGGAGGAAGACGAGGAGGAGGAGGGGAACGAGGAGTAGGAGGAGGAAGACGAGAAGGAGGAGGAGGAAGAGGAGGAGGAGGAGGAGGAGGAGGAGGAGGAGGAGGAGGAGGAGGAGGAGGAGGAGGAGGAGGAGGAGGAGGAGGAGGAGGAGGAAACACCAGTATGAGCACAAACAGCAAACAGTTGTACTTAGCATCCGCCTCACAATCGAGCAGCAACAGAAAATACTCAGCAGCAGTATGAAACACCAGCACGAGCACAAGCAGAGAACTGTAGTAGTGAGAAACCACCTCACCATCGAGCAGCAACTGAAGATGTTCAGCAGCCGTAGGAAACACCAGCACGAGCACAAGCAGCGAAAGGTAGTAGTCAGCATCCGCCTCACCATCGAGAAGCAACGGAAAATGTTCAGCAGCAGTAGAAAACACCAGCACGAAAACAAGCAGCGAACGATAGTAGTGAGCATCCGCCTCACCATCGAGCAGCAGCTGAAAATGCAGTAGTAGTGAGCATTCGCCTCACCATCGAGCAGCAACGGAAAATGCTAAACAGCACTAGGAAACACCAGCACGAGCAGAAGTAGCGAAGGGCAGTAGTGAGCATTCGCCTCACCATCGAGCAGCAACGGAAAATGCTCAGCAGCACTAGGATACACCAGCACGAGCACAAGGAGCGAACGGCAACAGTGAGCATTCGCCTCACCATCGAGCAGCAATATAAAATGTTCAGCATCGATAAGAAGCAACCGGACCAGCACAAGCAGCAAATGGTAGTAGTGAGCATCTGCCTCGCCATCGAGCAGCAACAGAACAGGTGTGACAAGGACGGGGAAGGCGACGACGACGAGGAGGAAGAGGGCAGGGAGGAGGAAGACGACGACGAGGAGGACCAGGACGAGGAGCTGGAGCAGGAGCAGGAGCAGGAGGAGAAGGAGGAAGAGAAGGAGGAAGAGGAGGAGGAGGAGGAGGAGGAGGAGGAGGAGGAGGAGGAGGAGGAGGAGGAGGAGGAGGAGGAGGAGGAGGAGGAGGAAAAGGAGGAGGAGGAGGAGGAGGAAGAGGAGGAGGAGGACGAGGATGAGGAGAAAGACGAGGAGGAGGAGGAGGAGGAGTAGGAGTAGGAGGAGAAGGAGGAGGAGGAGGAGGAGGAGGAGGAGGAGGAGGAGGAGGAGGAGGAGGAGGAGGAGGAGGAGGAGGAGGAGGAGGAGGAGGAGGAGTAGGAGGAGGAGGACCACGACGACGACGACGACCATGACGACAACGACGAGGAGGAGAAGGACGAGGAGGACGAGGACGATGAGGAGGAGGAGGAGGAGGAGGAGGAGGAGGAGGAGGAGGAGGAGGAGGAGGAGGAGGAGGAGGAGGAGGAGGAGGAGGAGGAGGAGGAGGAGGAGGAAACACCAGCATGAGCACAAGCAGCAAATAGTAGTACTGAGCATCCGCCTCACAATCGAGAAGCAACAGAAAACACTCAGCAACAGTAGGAAACACCAGTACAAGCACAAGCAGCGAGCGGTAGTAGTGAGTAGTCGCTTCACGATCGAGGAGCAACAGGAAATACTTAGTAGCAGTAGGCAACACTAGCATGAGCACAAGCAGCGGACGGTAGTAGTGAACATCCGCCTCACCATCAAGCAGCAACAGAAAGTATTCAGCAGGAGTAGGAAACACCAGCACGAGCACAAGCAGTGAACAGTAGTAGTGTGCATTCGCCTCACCATCGAGCAACAATATAAAATATCCAGCAGTAGTGGAAACACCATCACGAGCACAAGCAGCAAACGGTAGTAGTGAGCATCCGCCTCACCATCAAGCAACAACAGATAATATCAAGCAGCAGTAGGAAACACCAGCACGAGACAAGCAACGAACTGTAATAGTGAGAATCTGCCTCACCATCGAGCAGCAACTGAAGATGTTCAGCAGCCGTAGGAAACACCAGCACGAGCACAAGCAGCGAAAGGTAGTAGTCAGCATCCGCCTCACCATCGAGAAGCAACGGAAAATGTTCAGCAGCAGTAGAAAACACCAGCACGAACACAAGCAGCGATAGATAGTAGTGAGCATCCGCCTAACCATCGAGCAGCAGCTGAAAATGCAGTAGTAGTGAGCATTCGCCTCACCATCGAGCAGCAACGGAAAATGCTAAATAGCACTAGGAAAAACCAGCACGAGCAGAAGTAGCGAACAACAGTAGTGAGCATTCGCCTCACCATCGAGCAGCAACGGAAAATGCTCAGCAGCATTAGGATACACCAGCACGAGCACAAGGAGCGAACGGCAGCAGTGAGTATTCGCCTCACCATCGAGCAGCAATATAAAATGTTCAGCAGCGATAAGAAGCAACCGGACCAGCACAAGCAGCGAATGGTAGTAGTGAGCATCTGCCTCGCCATCGAGCAGCAACAGAACAGGTGTGACAAGGACGGGGAAGGCGACGACGACGAGGAGGAGGAGGGCAGGGAGGAGGAAGACGACGACGACGAGGACCAGGACGAGGAGCAGGAGCAGGAGCAGGAGCAGGAGCAGGAGGAGAAGGAGGAAGAGGAGGAGGAAGAGGAGGAGGAGGAGGAGGAGGAGGAGGAGGAGGAGGAGGAGGAGGAGGAGGAGGAGGAGGAGGAGGAGGAGGAGGAAAAGGAGGAGGAGGAGGAGGAAGAGGAGGAGGAGGAGAGGACGAGGATGATGAGGAAGACAAGGAGGAGGAGGAGGAGGAGGAGGAGGAGGAGGAGGAGGAGGAGGAGGAGGAGGAGGAGGAGGAGGAGGAGGAGGAGGAGGAGGACCATGACGACGACGAGGAGGAGAAAGACGAGGAGGACGAGGAGGAAGAGGAGGAGGAGGAGGAGGAGGAGGAGGAGGAGGAGGAGGAGGAGGAGGAGGAGGAGGAGGAGGAGGAGGAGGAGGAGGAAGAGGAGGAGGAGGAGGAGGAGGAGGAAAAGGAGGAGGAGGAGGAGGAGGAACTGTACTGTATGGTTTGTCCACTCGCTCAGTTTTTGTTGGCAGAGTGGTTCGGAGCGGCAGTGCGTGGTGCTGGGCCGTTGTGTGTGGTCATTGGTGGTGTTGAGTGCCCGTGAGTGGTGACGAGCGGTGACGAGTGGTGATGAACGGTGTAGTCTGTCTACGGTGTGACGTTGATGTCCGTCTCCCGCCTCTCGACTACTGCAAACAAGGATGCCTTGAGCATCATGGAAACGGTTGTGAGGACTGTACAACACTGGTGGTTGTGCTTGTCTAGTGATTCTTAACCATTTGTGTCATCCCAACGATCAAGATAGGTTCAACGTGTTTCATTTCTTCGCATAGCATCCTCTTGTATCACTTTACCGTACATTGTGCAAAAATTCTGGAGACAAAGCATTCTGAACTTCAGCAGCAGCACAAACAATGACATCGGCAGCAACAGCAGGGCAGCAGTAGCAAGCAGCAACAGCAGAGCAGCAGCAAGCAGTGACGGCAGCAGCAGTAGCAAGCAGTGACGGCAGCAGCAGGAGCAAGCAAGCATTGACAGCAGCAGCAGGAGCAAGCGAGTAGTGACAGCAGCAGCAGGAGCAAGCAAGCAGTGACTGCAGCAGCAGGAGTAAGCAAGCAGTGACGGCAGCAGCAGGAGTAAGCAAGCAGTGACGGCAGCAGCAGGAGTAAGCAAGCAGTGACGGCAGCAGCAGGAGCAAGCAAGCAGTGACGGCAGCAGCAGGAGTAAGCAAGCAGTGACAGCAGCAGCAGGAGTAAGCAAGCAGTGACGGCAGCAGCAGGAGCAAGCAAGCAGTGACGGCAGCAGCAGGAGTAAGCAAGCAGTGACGGCAGCAGCAGGAGTAAGCAAGCAGTGACGGCAGCAGCAGTAGCAAGCAAGCAGTGTCGGCAGCAGCAGTAGCAAGCAAGCAGTGACGGCAGTAGCAGGAGCAAGCTAGCAGGGTTTAAAGGTGTATAGCGACTGGCCGACTTTCCCGCAGTTGTATTGCAAGGGGGAGCTGGTTGGGGGGTGTGATATTGTGCTGCAGATGCACGAGAGTGGGGAGTTGAAAGAGGTGTTTGCAGAGAAAGGGGTGCTGGGAGGGGCGGGGAAGGGAGATGCACCAGGAGCAGTGACGGCAGCAGCAGCAGCAGCAGCGGCGGATGGGCAGGTTGATGGGGCGAAGGGGTTGCAAGAGCGGCTGAAGGCACTCCTCTCGTCTTCGCCTACCATGCTGTTCATGAAGGTATGTTGGAGTAGAGTGGGTTGGGGCGTATGTGATAATCTGTATCGTCCTGCCTTAGCTAATTAAGATGATTGAAGGCACTCGTCTCGTCGTCGCCTTCCTCTCATCCCTTCCTCTCATCCCTTCCTCTCATCCCTTCCTCTCATCCCTTCCTCTCATCCCATCCTCTCTGCTGCGTTACCTCTCAGGGAACACCGGAGGAGCCGCGGTGTGGGTTCAGCCGCAAGGTGGTGGATGCAGTCCAGTCAGACATGGACTCATCGCATATTTCCTTCCTTCTTCCCCATGGCTTGTCCTCACGGCCTTGCCTTGCTTTCCCAGGGCACACCGGAGTAGCCGCAGTGTGGGTTCAGCCGCAAGGTGGTGGATGCACTCACGTCAGAAGGTATTTCCTTTGGCAGTTTTGACATTCTCACGGACGAGGCAGTGCGGCAGGGGCTGAACACATGCCTTTACACCCCCCCAACCCCCCTTCCCCTGCCTTCCTGTGCTATGTACCCATGACCATCCCCATCCCTTGTTATTCAGGGAACACCGCAGGAGCCCCGGTGTGGGTTCGGCCGCAAGGTGGTGGATGCAGTCAAGTCAGACATGGACTCATCGCATGTTTCCCCCCCTCTTCCCCCCTTCTTCCCCCCCTCTTCCCCCCCTCTTCCCCATGGCTTGTCCTCACGGCCTTGCCTTGCTTTCCCAGGGCACACCCGAGGAGCCGCGGTGTGGGTTCAGCCGCAAGGTGGTTGATGCACTCATGTCAGAAGGCATTTCCTTTGGCAGTTTTGACATTCTCACGGATGAAGCAGTGAGGCAGGGGCTGAAGGAGCTCTCCAATTGGCCCACGTACCCCCAGGTGTACCACAAGGGCGAGCTGATTGGTGGATGCGATATTGTGCTTGAAATGAAGGCTAATGGGGAGCTTAAAGCCGAGCTTGGAGGGTGAAGTTCACTGTACTGTGTAGCTAAATCATTTTCATATACCTGGTAGTACCAAGGTAGAGCTGATTGGCATCTGTTTTTTAACCAGAGTAAGAACAATGTGCCCATCTTTTGTGTCACTCGCAGTCCGACATGCCACTTTTTCCTCCAAGCTCCAACAGCAACAGATGCTACTACAGCCTGAAAATCATGCTCCAACAGCTTCATTTGTTATCCTGCAGCAATGAATTGGTGCAGACGACTCTCAAGGTCAGGTCAAAAGTCAGCTGGTACGGCCAGTCCTACCATTATGCAAACACTCGTCAGAGACACGACAGCTCGAGTCCTGCGAACCAACGCTCACGTAAAGCACAATGCCTAACACAAACGTCCTAAATACGCTTAGCATGTGAGCGTTGCTTTCAAAAAGTTAACTCCCATGACTGTACCCTCCAGCACAGTTGTCGATCGCATACGGATGCCATGGGTGGGGTAGGGTCTAGGGATGGATGGCAAGTTGGCAATGACCAATGCCGATCACTCATCGAGGTACGGTAGTGTAGGTGCCACTGCCAGCAGACTTGTGCTCCCATCCCATGAGTGCACCCTTTCATGGGCATGCCAAAACGGCCAATGCCATGTCCACACTCAGTCGTCCAGGTAGTAGTAGGTGCCGGCACTCTTCTGCTCGCGGTCCTTGACAGAATCCATCTTGTTGATGCGCGGCCGAAAGTTGGTGGGGTCGCGCCGGAACGTGATGTCCAGTTGCTGGGGGGGGGAGGGTGGTGGTGGTTGGGGGTGGGAGGAAACGATGGTTGTGAGGGGCACGGTAGCGAGAAGAGGTGAAAACGGGAGGGAGAAAGGGGTTCCATGAGTGCACCCTACAAGCGCACAGCTCCCTTGGGCATGCCGGAAGAGGTTCATGCCGCTGTTGAGCGACTTGAGGAGTGCAAGCCGTGCAATCCACGGACGGCTGCCCCTCGTAGACAATCACGCGGTCCGCCAGGTACGTGGCCATGATGAAGTCGTGCTCCACCACAAAGGGGGGTTCTCACTCACACAGCAAGCAACAAGGGGTCTCTCACCGAGAGGAAGAGGTTCATGCCGCTGTTGAGCGACTGGGGCGTGCGCGCCGTGCAGTCCACCGACGGCTGCCCCTCGTACACGATGACGCGGTCCGCCAGGTACGTGGCCATGATGAAGTCGTGCTCCACCACAAACGCCGTCTTCTTGGCGTGCAGGATGAAGCGCTTGATCACCTTGGCCGCCACAATGCGCTGCTCTGAATCCAAGTAGGCTGAGGGTTCATCAATCAGGTAGATGTCGGCAGGCTGGGAGGAAAGGGGGTGTGGGGGGTTGGAAGTGGAAGTGGAAAGTTAGAGGGAGGGGAGGGATGAACGGCTTGATCACCTTGGCTGCCACGATGCGCTGCTCCGAATCCAGATAGGCCGAGGGCTCGTCTATGAGGTAGATGTCGGCAGGCTGGGAGGAGAGAGAAGAAGGAACGCATGTGCAGGATGAACGGCTTGATGACCTTGACCGTCACGATGCGCTGCTCTTGAGTCGAGATAGGCCGAGGGTTCATCGATCAGATAGATGTCGGCAGGCTGGAGAAAGGAGAAAGTGGAAGAGGGGGAGAAAGGGAAAAAAGGGAAGGATGAACCGCTTGATGACCGTGGCTGCCACAATGCACTGCTCTTGAGTCGAGATAGGCCGATGGATCGTAAATGAGGTAGATGCCACCAAGGCAGAGGGAAATAGCGACGCACCTTCCCAAAGCAGAGGGAAATAGCCACGCACCTTCCCAAGGCAGAGGGAAATAGACACGCACCTTCCAAAGGCAGAGGGAAATAGCAACGCACCTTCCCAAGGCAGAGGGAAATAGCCACGCACCTTCCCAAGGCAGAGGGAAATAGCCATGCACCTTTCCAAGGCAGAGGGAAATAGCCACGCACCTTCCCAAGGCAGAGGGAAATAGCCATGCACCTTCCCAAGGCAGAGGGAAATAGCGACGCACCTTCCCAAGGCAGAGGGAAATAGCCATGCACCTTCCCAAGGCAGAGGGAAATAGCCACTCACCTTCCAAGGCAGAGGGAAATAGCCACGCACCTTCCCAAGGCAGAGGGAAATAGCCACGCACCTTCCCAAGGCAGAGGGAAATAGCCACGCACCTTCCCAAGGCAGAGGGAAATAGCCACGCACTTTCCCAAAACAGAGTAATATAGCCACGCACCTTCCCAAGGCAGAGGGAAATAGCCACGCACCTTCCCAAGGCAGAGGGAAATAGCCACGCACCTTCCAAGGCAGAGGGAGATAGCCACGCACCTTCCCAAAGCGGAGGGAAATAGCCACGCACCTTCCCAAGGCAGAGGGAAATAGCCACGCACCTTCCCAAGGCAGAGGGAAATAGCCACGCACCTTCCCAAGGCAGAGCGAAATAGCCACGCACCTTCCCAAAACAGAGGGAAATAGCGACGCACCTTCCCAAGGCAGAGGGAAATAGCCACGCGCTGCAGCTCTCCTCCTGACAAATTCACCACCTCCTGGTCGAGCAGGGGGTCGATCTGCATGAGACAACTTCTGAGCCGCCCCAAAACCATCCCAAAACCGCCCCAAAACCACCCCAAAACCGCCTCAGACCACCTTAAAATCCCAAGAGGGACTTGATGCACCCCTTCCTTACCTTGCCAAGGCACAGCGTGATGGCCACGCGCTGCAGCTCCCCTCCTGAGATTTTCACCACCTCCTGGTCGAGCAGGGGGTCGATCTGCATGGGGCAACTTCTGAGCCGCCCCAGAACCGCCCAAAACCACCTTGAACCGCCGCAGTCTCCAAGAGAGAGTTGACCAACCCACCCACTCCTTCCTTACCTTTCCCAGACAAAGGGTAATAGCCACGCGCTGCAGCTCCCCACCCGACAAATTCACCACCTCCTGGTCCAGGAGCGGGTCGATCTGCATGGGGCGCAGCACGTCGGTGTTGAACTGCGGGTGGTGGAACGAGTCTCGGATCTTGGAGTGCAGCAGCGCGCGCACGCTGTGGGGGAACTTGGGGGAGATCTTCTGCGGCTTGTACGACACGTTGAACTCCGGGAGGTCCTCGGCCTCCTTGCCGGTCTCCTCGTCCGGGTCAGCCTTTAAGAGACCAGCCTGTAAGGGGTTGAGAAGGACACAGGAGAGCGGAAAGGAGAGGAACGAGAGGGTATGAGAGGGGGAACTTGCGGCTGATCTTCTGCGGCTTGTACGACACGTTGAACTCCGGGAGGTCCTCAGCTTCTTTCCCGGTCTCCTCGTCTGGATCTGCCTTCAAGAGGCCGGCCTGGAGGGGTTCAGAACGAGACAGGAGAGGAGAGGGGAGGAGGGAGGAGAGTAACGCAGAAAACTTGGGGCTGGGCTGGTCTTCTGCCGCCTGTACAACACACTGAAATCCGGGAGATCTTCGGCTTCCTTGCCAGTTGATTCGTCCGGGTCGGCCTTTAACAGACCAGCCTGCGTGATACAAGGGAGAAGGGAGACAAGGCACGGGGGATCGAAGTGGAAAGGGAAGAAAAAGGGACGGAGAATGAGAATGGGAAGGGAAACTTGGGGCTGGGTTGGTCTTCTGCGGCCTGTACGACGCGTTGAACTCGGGAAAACCTTGGGCCTCCTTGCCGGTTTCCTCATCTGGGTCCGGCCTTGAGAGAGCCGCCTGGAAGGGAGAGAGGAGGGATGGAAGATGGATCATGGAAGGGACAGGGAGGAGAGAGAGCCAAAGAGACGTGCAAGCTGGCGATATTGGGAGACGCGGAAACGGGAAGGAAACGGGAATTTAGGAGCCAACGACTAGCCCAACCGGTATGCATATGACACAAGAGTCGGCCTATTAGCTCTTCGGAAGCATGTGGCATGGTGCGGGCACATGCAAGTTGGGCTACCGGCCTACCACCAGCCATGCACAGGTGAGAGAGTTGGCCTACCAGCATGCGGATAAAGGTGGTTTCGCCGGTGCCATTCTCCCCCAGCATCACCACGATCTGCGAGTCTGTGCCTTGCGTCCACTGCCATCCCTACCTATGGTGCACACATGTGCCTACCAGCATGCGCACCCATGAGAGACAGCTTCCCTACCAGCATGCGGATAAAGGTGGTCTTGCCGGTGCCGTTCTCCCCCAGCATCACCACGATCTGTGAGTCCGTGAAGTCACCAGGTTCCACCGTCAGCTTGAATCCGCCCTGCTTCTTGACCATGCGCGGGTACTTGTAGCGCGTGTACGTCTTGGCCTCTTCAGGGTTATCGACTGGGGTTTCAGCAACCTGAGATGGAATGGAGAGGGGGGGAGGGGAAGGAGGGGCTTGAACCGGCCCTGCTTCTTGACCATGCACGGGTACTTGTAGCGCGTGTACGTCTTGGCTTCTTCAGGATTATCCACCGGGGTTTCAGCCACCTGATGGGAGCAATGATGGGTTGAGATGGGTCAGAAATAAGGGTAATTTAGCTGCAAAGCTTGAACCCGCCCTGCTTCTTGATCATGCGCGGGTACTTGTACCGCGTGTACGTCTTGGCCTCTTCAGGATTATCCACCGGGGTTTCAGCCACCTGAGATGGAATGAAGGGGGGTGAAAGAATGGAGTGAGGGAGGGGAAGGAGGAGGTTGAACCCGCCGTGCTTCTTGATCATGCCCAAATACCTGTACCGAACCGACTGTACGTCTTGGCCTCCCTCCTCAGGATTATCCACCAGGGTTTTCGTCCCCTGATGGGAGGGGGAAAGGAGAAGAGGCACGGGCGGAGGAGAGGGAGTGGAGGGGAGGAAAGGAGTGCTTTGAGGAACCTGAGACAGCACACAGAGAGCTTCAACACGCCCTGCTTCTTGATCATGCGTGGGTACTTGTACCAAGTATATGTCTTGGCCTCGTCCGTTTCTTCCAACTTTGAAAATGAATGAGCTTTTCGTCTCAAAAATGTGGGTCTGACTTCTGAGTCGACTTTTGTGTCTTAAGTCGGCTCAAAAGATGAAAAAAAAATATGCTCATGCCCTATCTAACGA